GCGAATCCCCTAGTATCTCACTTATACCCTCTGATTATTTAATGTAGCTATGGAACATGGCCCATTTATAGATGATAAACATCCCGGCGGAAGGGAAACCGCGCGAGCGTTTTGATTGGTTGTTTCCAGGAGAGTCACAATCACCTGTAATTTACAATATAAAATGCTCTTCCGATCAGTTTGGATGACTGAATTTGGGTTAAAAAAAGTGGATGCAAAATCTATTGATTTTTAACAAATCCAGGTAAACATCATGTGCATCAGACGTGGATGCACAGATTTTTTTTCACACTCTTCGTCGGCTCAGCGATCCATCAGTGTGGAAGCTGTCTTCGACAGCAAGTTGCCATTATGGCACTCATAACGCGTAGCAACCTGTAACGTAGTAAACGATCACAGAGATCTCAGCAGCGTAGCAACATGTAACGTAGTAAACGATCCCAGAGATCTCAGCAGCGTAGCAACATGTAACGCAGTAAACGATCCCAGAGATCTCAGCAGAGTAGCAACATGTCACGTAGTAAACGATCCCAAGGATCTCAGCAGCGTAGCAACATGTCACGTAGTAAACGATCCCAAGGATCTCAGCAGCGTAGCAACATGTAACGTAGGAAATTATCTCAGAGATCTCAGCAGCGTAGCAACATGTCACGTAGTAAACGATCCCAAGGATCTCAGCAGCGTAGCAACATGTAACGTAGGAAACTATCTCACAGATCTCAGCAGCGTAGCAACCTGTAACGTAGTAAGAAAGTCCCAAGGATCTCAGCAGCGTAGCAACATGTAACGTAGGAAACTATCTCAGAGATACCAGCAGCGTAGCAACATGTAACGTAGGAAACTATCTCAGAGATACCAGCAGCGTAGCAACCTGTAACGTAGTAAAAGATCCCAGAGATCTCAGCAGCGTAGCAACCTGTAACGTAGTAAAAGATCCCAGAGACCTCAGCAGCGTAGCAACATGTCACGTAGTAAGAAAGTCCCAAGGATCTCAGCAGCGTAGCCACATGTAACGTAGGAAACTATCTCAGAGATACCAGCAGCGTAGCAACATGTAACGTAGTAAAGGATCCCAGAGATCTTAGCAACATCGCAATATATCCTGTACGAAGTACAAGGAACGTTAACATGCCCCCCCACCCCACCCCACCCCAACCCCAACCCACACTAACATGGCAATATATCCTGTACGAAGTACGAGGAACGTTAACATGCCCCCCCACCCCAACCCACACTAGAGATCTCAGCAGCGTAGCAACACGTAACGTAGTAAAAGATCCCAGAGATCTTAGCAACATGGCAATATATCATGTACGAAGTACAAGGAACGTTAACATGCCCCCCCACCCCACCCCACCCCAACCCCAAGACAAAGAGCAATACTCAAAAAAGAAGCAAAACGCACGTACGGTTTTCCTGCCGTAGGCATAAACATGATGATTTAGCTATTAAAAATGGTGATTTCTCAGTTCGCTACGTTAAATAACCAGAGGGTAATTGGGATTTAACCCCAGCGAACCTGTTAGCAACTTTGATGATCCAGCATCACCAATCTGTCATTGGAAGCATTAAAATAGAACCCGCAAGAAGAGAGGCAGACATGCAAAATGTGATTCTACTATATTCTACCGAAATGATAAGTTACATGTCTATCTTTTTTTCGGGTTTCTGTCGGTTACTATATTCCAAAATGGAGCCAATACCAAGCAGTCCTGGCTTGACCAATGAATTCTTGGAAAGCTGGCTTTATCACTGGCTTGTTCGCACATATTCTGGGTTTTATGGGTTTGCTTATAATATTCACATAATTTCATATAGTGACAGTTTTAATACTAGTTTTAACAGTACTTGCAGTATAATAAAAGTCATGGTAATAGTCAGATTGTACTTCTATCTCTTTGCAGTTATGGCCCTTTACCAGTTATAAGTACTTATAACGACATTTATAACATGTATAATCCCACTAAAATAACCAATTATGACTAATAGCCACGGCCATGTCACTGTAGGGCTTGCTGCAAAAAAAGGCAATAACACAAGGCAATAGTCATGGCCCGAGCCAAAGAATCCTACAATGAGCCATCCCGAATCTATGACAAGCGACGAGCGATTTGCACTTAACAAACATGATACGATATGCCCAGCAGAAATTCGGGAAACAAAAGTGCTAACCATGGAACTGGTTCACATATATGATTACATCACAGAAACAGAATATCTCAAAGCAAAACACAAACAACAAAGCCACAAGTACAATAATCGACTGTGTTCATGATGAATGAGACCCGTTTACCCCAATAAACTTAATTTCCCATGTCTTAGGCAAAGCCCCAGATTGAAGCAATTACTATCCTGGCAAGATCAGGTATGTCAAAGTGTTGATTTAAGGGAAGTCTGGAAACCATGTTATTTTTCCACATTTTGTTTCTGGATTTGACACCGGGCAACCAATGCAAGGAGCATGGGCCCACTATTGTATCAGCGCCATGGTTGACGATTATGTCGTGTGTATGAAATCCAACTGTCTCGGAACATATGACTTGACTTTGCCCCGTTTGCCCACATTACCAACAAAATCGCACAAAGTCCAGACGGCTTGAGATGTCCACATATATTACCAACTGGGTTCATTCTTTTGTTGGGTAGAACCTCGTTTTGTTGGCTGAAGAAAAACATATTCCGTAAGTCTGCATCTGGGTTTTGTCAAGACTTTTCTTTAATAGTTACTTTACTCACGTCAACTGAATTTGACGCTGGCCGCGAAATACCGTTTGTATCCTGCAACTAACCCATAGGATCCAATGTTAGCATATATACCATACATGGATCCTATGGGTAACTAAATGTACATGTTGGTCTTCGTCAGAAACACTTCTGTCTCGTTGCGTGTCTCTTTCAACTTTGGTTTCTGTGACTTTGGACGAAAACACTTCGACCCACTTGGATTTGCTTAAGGAGTCCCAAGAAAAATAGAAAATCATCATGCTGGGTAAATTATAATATTTCACTAATATGAATCTTGCGGCCATGAATGGGGATGATTTCCCATAAACAAACCGTTTGATTCCAGGGTTCGGGAGAACAGGGTTCGGTCGTGATCAAATTTACCCAGATATCGTTTAATCACCACTAAGCCACTATTTTTCTCACCATTAAGCCCCATAAAAATGCTTTATGTATAATCCCATCTATAACTAAATAGAAAATCATCATGGTATATCATGGTATATCATGGTAGATACAATGGTGCTAACTCAACTCCAAGAAAACCAGCAACTCGAACATATGGGTCAAAACCCTGCATCACCCCCCGTTGTTCACCCAGCTGGGATACAGGGATCTTCAAACCTTCGAATGTTTCCTGCAGTTATGGCCCGAGTTATACCAGTTATAAGTACTAACAAGTCACCCCATAGAAATAACATGTTTTTTATCCCACTGAAATAAGCAGTTATAACTTTCATAAATGGCCATAACTGTGATTTTTTTGTCAATCTCCATTGTGGTCGGTGACCTTCGATCCTTCTTTCTGCATTTTGTATCCCAGTTGTGGTTGCTAAATTCCACATCTCCGATCATGTTTGCGGGTTAGGCCCCAACCACTCAACAGCCTGGGGGAGCCCTCCATGAATCACAAGTGGGAAAAAGACATCTATCGATCATTACCAAAATCAGCGCAAAATCGGGGATTTAATGATTGAACACATCTGGTTGGTGGTTGACCTAGCCCTCTGAAAAATATGAGTTCGTCAGTTGGGATGATTTTTGTTCCCAATATATGGAAAGTCATAAAAAATATTCATGTTCCAGTCACCACCAACCAGACATTATTTTACCCAGCGGTTTTGTCGTTGGTATCGGTGAACATCACATATATACCCCTTCAGATGATGCAAACTTCAGAAACGAAAAAATCTACACGGTGGGGTCCCATCGATAGCGAAGTTAGCTTACAAAAAATGGTCAATTCTATGGTTTCTGTTGCTTGTCTATACTAGGCTATTCTATGGAGGTTTGAAAAAAGGTCCCTATACTAGGCTATAATGGAGGTTTGAAAAAAGGTCCCCAGGGTCAAGACTTACATGACTTACATCATATATTTTGAAATATGTTGGTTGGAAATTTTACCATGGTCCCCCGGGATTAAACAAAACCACATGCAATCCTAAGTTTATAGTAGTTACCTATGTTTTTTTGTAGGCCTTAGATCCATCTATACCTAAAAACCCAGGTTTTTCATGCATGGCCAATCTTAATTCATAACTAGGTGAAATCTTGAAGGGAGGTTTATAGTTGCTGCTCCCTGGCCAGCCCAAATACAAGGGGCAGGGTAAACAGGCTGAATATAGAGGTAAAACTGCACAAGTTCCACAATGGCTGGGAGCAATGCTAATACTGTACCCCTGGATTCTAGATAGCCATGCAATCTTAGGTTTATACAAGTTCATGGTAATTACCTTGCGACAATCCACCAAAAATTACCGTGCTTTTCATACTACCAATAGAATAACTGCTGTGAATTCTACATTGTTATTTTCTTTCAAAAAGAAAGATCATGAGTAGATCATAATGGTTACCTTTAGATGATGAATAATCTATCAGATGTGTTTCTATTCTATGATGAAAACACACATAGTTACCTATCACATCCTATTGCTATGATTACCTATTTAAGTTCTATCCAATGTCTATTTATTATCGATTATACATAGTATTATTATCTTTTATGTCTATTGTTACTTTTTTACTATCTATTACCACTATGATTATCCATTTGTAATCTATTATCTAAACGTCTATGAGTCTATGATTATCTATGATCCATTACCTATTATTATTTATTATTATCTATTATTATATATTATCTATTTGATTACTATCTATTATCTATGAGTCTATGACTATCTGTGATCTATTATCTATGACTATCTACTATTATTGCATAACCGCATAACCAAGACTCCCCTGGATCTGAAAAAACAAAACTAAACTAAACCCACCTGAGGTCCACCCGCCAACTGCAACTTCTCCTCCAAGAGCCTCACCACCTCGTCACTGTCAGCGCAGGACTGGAAAATCCTTTTTTTTATGGGAAAATCATGGGAAAACATGGGAAAATCATGGGAAAATATGGGAAAATCATGGGACGATCATTGGAAAATATGGAACATATATGGAAAATATGGGACATATGGGAAACAATGGGGAAATACATAATATGAGCATGTGGGAAAACATGGGAACATCTACTATGAATGGAGGTTTATAGATGATTCTCCGAGCAAAAAACGTCCATTTTTAAGGCATTATCCCATTAGAACACTCAAAATACTCAATTTATAAATGACTTTCCCAGCTCTCTATTTAGTTCGGGGATTTCCCAGCCATGTTTGATTACCAAATGGAGAAAAATTATATAAATCATTGGACGATGGGGTATTCCACATGCTGCCAACCCTGGATGAATAAACCCCGTTTACGGCTTTTTAATTGGGAGGTACCATAAAAAAACGTATCAAATCATGACTATGGAATACACCATTAATAAACCATGGTTTATTCATCCGGGGTTGACATTATATGCAATGTTCATGGGGAAAATCATGGATGTACCCGTTCGGGGTCAATTAACCCAACAACTGGAGTTTCTACAGTTATGGCCATGGCTGTTAGTTATTATTGGTTATAAGTGTGATTATACATTTTATAAATGGGGTCACTTGTTAGTACTTATAACTGGTATAACTCGGGCCATAACTGTAGTCAATAAACATAATGGCTCAGTCACTTTATTTCACTAGGTTTTCTGTGATGGGTTTATGGTGGATGTATTCATGGTTGGATGGGTGAACTGAACTTTTGTATATGTTGTTTAACTTAACACGTTGTTGGCTTGTCAAAAAAATGATGTGTATTAATGAATGGGATTAAACCATATTAAACCGTTTAAACCATATTAAACCCCAGTTACAATGAGCACATATCGCAACATTTCTGGCAACATCTAAGTTACACAGGGTCTCAATTTGAGACATTTAACAAGTTAAATATTTAATCCATGTATCAACCACCAAAAACACCAATGTGAACCGACAACTCGATTTTGTCCAACCAAGACAATGCACAGCATGGGAGTCTAACCTCTATACACCACACTTTTTGGCTCCATCAAACCAGCACAAAATACAGAACTTAAAATCAAAAACTGGAATTAATCAAGTCAAACATGGAGGGTTCAAATCACTATATACAGAAACATGTGTTTCCACCATCAAACATGATAAATTAGATCAACATAAGATGATCACCTTTTCCCCCAACGGTTTTGAACATATTTAAACACCAAACATCGGGATCATGAGCAACAAAATAGGAGCTGCCGTCACAAGGCATTCACGCACGAATGATGGGCGAAGCAAACTACACGAATGAAATGACGCAGAGAGCCATGTTCATAGCCCCTATCTCTTCGATTCTCTTCGTACAGCTTCAGCAATTTGTGCGCCCGGCCCGCCCGTGCAGAACATTGGAGTTGTCAATAGCTGTCTGGCAAAACTCGCGAAGCACAGCCGGTAGCCATCAGGTAGCATAGGAAAGACACAAACAATGCCTTTCATTCATTGCCAGCAGAAGTGGCAAAGCAGAAAAATGACAGGTGTATGGATACAATTTATTGTAGACAGGATATACTCCCAGGGACTAGGTGCGAATCTATGACAAATTATCGAAGTTGAGCGAACGGATGCAACAAAGGGGATATTGTACAGTTATGGTCCGAAATACTAGTTACAAGTACTAACAAAACCCCATGTATGGTTCATGTATAATCCCATAGAACTAACCAGTTATAAGTTATACCTAATAGCCATAGCCATAATCATCCCCAATAGGATTGAACTATGAAACCATCTCTGAAACCATCAGCAATGGTCACTATCCTTGCTTGCGGTGAGGTTCCCCAGCTGTAAGAGTTACCCTCTGGTTATTTAACAGTTCGCCATGGAAGCCATGGCCCATAGAAATAGATGGTTTACTAGCTTTACCTATTAAAAATGGTGGATCTTTCCATGGCGAACTGTTAGAAATAACCAGAGGCTAGTGTTTTTCAAGCCAATAATTGGTTCGTGAAGCCCATCCCCCAGATCAACTCAACAAATAACCCAGTTATCTGTGCGCCAAGTTAAAGAGCTATCAAATCAAGTCTTGGTCAGATTCTTATCCCATTCTTATCCCATTAAACATCAAAACAAATCCCAGTAAGCAATGAAAACCAATTCAAAACAAATGGTTTATCACTTGCAAAAACATGTTTTTGGGCAGCTGCGCTGTGAACCTACTGCTGAAACTAGTTCTTATACCCATTCAAATGAATATAACAGCAAAACAATAAAACACCGTATGATAATGCTGCTAATGCCAATTCGTTAAACACAACTATAGATTGGGATTTTACAACTATAAATTTGTCAATACCCAATTCTTGACCCAAAATCAACATGAATTATAGTCAACATTAACTAGAACTATAATTTATAGCCACCAGCTAAATATAACTATAATTATGTAATGAGCCCGTTTATGTATGCATGACTGCATGACTTAATTCTATCTGATCGGTTAATCCCAATCATAACTTGGATCTCTACATGATAACATTCGATAATTACAGTATTACTTGGTAAATCCATCATTCTTACCCCCATGATTGATGCTAACATTCCTGTCCTGTCAGTGAAACCATCATTCTTTGGTTCATATGGTTTCTACCCCAGTTTGTCTTGCTTAAATCACCAATTGTTGCAATGATTGATTAACTCCATTGTTCACTATAGATCGCTGCAATGATTGATTAACTCCATTGTTAATCTCAGCCTAAAACACATTAAAACACCATACATCAGCATCAAACCACCGTTAAATGATGTTAAATGACCGTTAAATCCACCACGTTGTCATCCCATCGTCCCCAGCCGGTCGCCCAGCTCGCCACACAAGGACGGCGCCTTCCATGCGCTTTGTGGCATCTTCATAGCCTTGGACTTCAGAAATGGCAGTAGCACCTGAGCAAAGAGAAAACTTGGGTGCTGACAAGATTATTATGGCATTTATAGTGATTTTATGGTATTTTATAGTGGTTCAATGCGATTTATCATGATGTAATGGGACTTTATTAATGGGATATGAATGGGATATTAATATGATATACCCTCTGGAAAACTAACAGTTTGCTATTGAACATGGCCATTTAGTTCGTTGATTTACCCATTAAAACTGATGATTTTCCATGGTTATGTTAGTTTACCAGAGGGTAGTGGTTAATCATTTAAACAATCCCAGATGCTCCATGGTGCCGCATATTCACCTAAAAAACTGGGCCATTTTTGGGGTAAATGTAGGTAAATATGACATACATGGAGCATCTGGGAAAAGGTTGTTTTATGGTCAGTTTGATGGTGGTGTAATGGGAGTTGAATGGGATTTGTGGAAGGATTCAATGAGATTTAATGGGAATTTAATGGGAATTGATATAGTGATATGATGGGATTGAATACAATGATTAAATGCTAAAACTATGCTGAACAAGAAACACAGATCAACAAATGTGAACTATCTGCAATACTGTTTGTTTCCAAATGGACAGTAGACGTGGGGATTTTGGATAAAATGAACATGTAATGTTCATCAACAAAGTCCATTTGAGCAGCGTCCAAATGTGTGCTTATGTCGCATGGGTTTGATTACGCCGCACGGGCTTACAAACTACTTATGCGACCACAATTTTGACTTACGCGAGGGTTGGGGTGTGAGACAGTCTTTTGCAACACCTACGCGATTTGAATTGCCCAAACATGTGGCTTCCCTAAAGAAATTGCTTACGCGGCAGCTTAAGGACATGTTGACAGGAATGCATGGGCTTACGCCATGCATCTATCAGCAACATGTTTACGCCAGCTTACGAAACCCGCGGTTTTGCTTGTGCCAGACAGCCTTATAATATGGAGGGAGGTTTTGGACCCTGCTCATTTGCATGTTGAGCCATTAACTGCGCCCATTTTGGACAATCCTTGATCAACTAACAGATTCTGGAGTACCTCATGTTCAGACAAACCCAAAGTACAAAGAACCCAGTTGTTTTTGGGGCTATAACCCAGTTACTATCCATGGTTCCATACCTTAATAAAGGCATTCATCATGTCTTGAACTATGACCTCTTTATGTTGCAAGTCCTCATTGAAAACGTAACCATCATCCAACAGTGGTTTTCGTCACTGCCGGAAGGTAGATTGCGTTCGTGCATGGTCTGCTGACTGCGTGTTCAATAGATTTTATAGCGAGTAGAGGTTTGATCCAAACATTCTTCGATATCGAGCGCTGGTTTGCTGTCTTCTCCCCCTTTGTGCTTGGGTACAACCTTTACAGGCGAAGTGATTTTATTTCTATATAGATTTAGATATGAAATGTGTTCCTATTTTACACAAGAAGGTTGACCCACTTACCAACCACTCACCAAGCATCATTTTGCTGTCTATATATGTCCCACGACGTCCCCATAATATCTCTGTTACCTCCCCATTGTGATTGGTTTTATCCAATTTTTGTTAAAGGATCAATCGGTCAATGCCTGTATTTTAAGGACAACCCCGGTTGTCTTAATTTCAAACAACGATCATCAACAATTTTCGTTTATACGATCGTTTTCAGGACACGACAAGGTTATATATATTTCAACAGAAACCGCCACAAATTTGATGGAATTTGATGGTTACCCCAGAAATTTGGATGGTGAGCCATCATGTTCCCATCATTTTCCCATATTGTATGTACCCCATATTTTCCTTATAAAAATGGCTAAAACTCTGAAAACCCCCAGTTTCAGACACGCCAACTCTGTGCAACGCGGAACTGACAACATCTCGGCGTCGCTCAGATTGCGCAGGAACTCACGTTGCCTGAACGCTGAAGTCAGCCGTTTGAAGATCGAAATGGATCGCAGCTATGGCTCGAAATATCTGTCAGTATAGGTCAGTTACAACCCAATTTATGGAATGTATAACCCCAAATTATAACAGTTATGGCCATTTATTAGTTATAACTGGTTATAACTGGGATTATACATGTTATAAATGGGGTTATAAGTACTTTTAACTGGTAAAGGGCCATAACTGAATGATACATAGTTGGTAAAACGTTTTTAACTGCACAAATGCCATGTCAGATACGGAAATCCTTGACGTGTATTTTAAAATTTTGGAAGTCTACAATTTGGATCGAGATGGGTGAATTTCGATTGCATAGAACATGTTGACAACAACACACAATGTTATACAGTATACATACAATGTGCCCCCCCCACTTATAAGATTGTTTATAAACCCCATTAACTATAGTTATTTGCGTATCATGAACCATAGTTATTGGAGTTATACATCAACTGAACGCTATAGTAAACGGGGGCCCCACATTGTAATAATGTGTGATAATTTCAAATTCCATCAAGCTTCATTGTATCAAACGCAATCACAGTAAAATCCACCAAACAGTCCAGGTAACGGAACGACCACCTTGAAAATCACCAAGATTACGGGGAAGGTAGATCATCCATATACCTTGCGGTAATCAAACATGGTTTCCCCATTAAAACCATTTCCACCAAAGTAACTAGGAACATCATCTGGTATATAAATATAAATATATATATATATAAATATAAATTACTTTCTTCGAGTGGTTCCCACCCTTACACACTATTCTAACATAGTTTCTGACATACCATTTGGAAGTATTTACGGCATATATACTCTGACATTCTTTCTGGCATTCTATCTGGCATCTGTTCCGACATTCTTTCTGGCATTCTATCTAACATCGATTCTGACATTCTTTTTTGCATCTATTCAGTCATTCATTCTGGCATCTATTTCGACATTCTCTCCGACATGGGCACTGCTGGACCTCAACCGCGAGCTTCAGATCTCAGTGGGCACTGCCTGTCGGACCTCCGTGAGCTCGCGGTTGAGGTCCGGCAGTGCCCACTGAGATCTGGAATTCGCTGTTGGGAGGAGGAAGGATGAAGTAACTCTGATAGAATCTAGAGACCCTCACCTGGCAAGTGGAGAAAAAGCTCTAATATACATATATATATATTATATATATATATATCTTAGGTAGATCATGCATATCAATCATCCATTTAGAACCAACAATGACCAACCATATTAATGTCCATCAATACATGTCCATAGTAAGACTCCCATGGATACCCCCGTTATATTCCCATGAATTTCCCCGGTGGTCCTCTTGTCGAAGGTCGTGCGACGTTGAGGGTGCCTGACCCAAGGGGAAATTTGCGCACGTAAAAAACATGAAAACAAATCCAATAATAGGTGGTTGCTGGTTGGTTAATGGGTATGCTTGGAATACATATTCCCATGACATTCCCATTCCCATTTATAGCTGGTTATACCTCCATGTTTGCTGATTTTGTCCAACCCAAAACCTGGAACTAAAACTTTAGTTCCCAGTCGTTTGAAGCACCAAGTTCACCAAAGATATAACAGTTGCCCAATTCAGGATCAAGCAATGGACAATTATCTAGCACGATAATGTCTTTTTCCTGGCAGTTTAAAGAAACCGATTTGGACTTGGTAAAGCAACACAAAAAGTTATCTAAGTTTCAGCATAAGGTCGCAACTTGAACGTTCTGGACATGTGTAGGGCAACCACACTTTTGTTTGGCTGTCATTAATCACCATTAATCACCATTAATCACCATGAACCACCATTAACCACCATTAATCACCATTAATCACCATTAGCAAATGTTGAGATTCAGGGTAGGAATCCTATTGGTCATCTGAAGTCCTGGAGAAAAAGCAACAGTAATCACTACTGCCAGTGGGGCCCCCAGTTGTGTTTGTTGGTCCATCATAACTTCATCTAACAATACCCAGATGCGAACCATGGTGCTGGCATATGAATCCCAACATTTGCCCGAACAAAATCACCCAGTTTTGTAGGTAAATATACCAGCACCATGGAGCATATGGGATAGATAATCAACCCTAGTTATCGTAGTATGTTCACCAACTTAGCTATGGACTGGGAGCGCATATTATATGTATTGATCATCATGATCTGTCCGAGTGATCCCAAGTGGTAAACGATGTGGCTGGATCAACCAAGTAGTTGGAATATACACTTACAAAGTGGGGCCTCCGTTTACGATAGCGTTCAGTTGGTGCAAATTACCCAATTTTTCTATGGTTTATGGTACCTATAACTATAGTATTCATGGGGTTTATACACCATCGTTCCATCACTGGGGGGCCCCACATTGTAGAAGCCAACAAACTTGGGTTGATCCAGCCACGGCTATCTTGGGTTGATGCTAATTGATCACCAACATATCCTGGATGTATATCCCAAAAATATCAACAACAATCTTGGATTTGCTTTAGAAGCCCACCCCAAACATTCATAAATCCCAGTAGATTCACCATGTCTGGCGGATTAACCAATGGAACAATGACAACAACAAACCCTTGGAGCTGGTGACCGGCAGTTTTGTCTAGTGGCGGGAAAAAAAAACGTTACTTATATAAGTAATGTAGATACAGAAGACTCCAATATAATCTAATTATGTATATGAGATATAAGTATAAATCGGTATAAATCATAGAGCAACTTAGCTATACCTTGTAGAATCGTATTTTCAACCCCCTGGTTTCATTTTCCAGTCTTGCCCTGAAGCTCAAGACCCACGGCAATTGGCACCTCAAATGGCAGTAGGTGCAATTGCCTAAGCGGGTGCGGTGACGTCCATACCCCATGGACATCTTGGGGTTATAACATGGTGATTGCGGTTAATTTGTCACGGTCAATCTTTGATGGTCCACAAACAAATAATTAATCTTTGATGGTTAATAATGGTTACAATGTGGGCCCCCCCAGTGATGTTAGATGGTTTATAAACCCTATTAGCTATAGGCTGTAGTTATAGGTACCATAAACCATAGTTATTGGAGTTACAAACCAACTTAGCTATCTATGGGGCCCCACTTTGTATAAGTTTAAATTCATGACAATTCCATTGGTGAAATCTCCATGTTCCCTCCGTTGAACAATGGGGATGCGCCTAACTTTTTTTAGGGAACCAGCGGCGATTCTACAAAGTGGGGCCCCCAAACGATAGCTAAGTTGGTGCAAATAACTCCAATAACTATGGTCTATGGTACTTATAACTTGTAAATATGGTCTATTCATGGGGTTTATAAACCAATTTCTAACGTTTGCCCCCACAGACAATACCCCATCTTGGTTGCCAAGTCGCTTCCCTTGGGGCAGTTGGCCCGATGCGTGCTGACATAGACGCAGGGGCGACGGCACATGTTGGGATGACCCAGGGAACCAACAGATACCTGGCCGTTTTTTCTGCATCGAAGTGACATGGTCAAATGGAGGTTTCCGAAGTCATAGGGATACCCCAGTGATGTTAGTTGGTTTAGATTCGCCCCAGTAACTATAGTTATAACTACCATAAACCATAGTGAAATTGTAGTTATTCGCACCAACTGAACGCTATCTTGGGGGCCTCACATTGTAGAATAGGGGTACCCCCAAATCATCCAGCTATTGGGGTACCGCCATTTACAGAAACCTCCAAATCCTTTTCAAAAGATTGGAAAATCATAGGAACACGTGGGAAAACATAGAGAATCCACTAGAAATGGGGGTTTCTAGCTGGAAAAATCACCCGTAGCTGACATGCTGTAAATGGAGGATATTCCATTGCCACATTTCCAGACGGTAACTGGCGATTTATTCACAAACTCCATGGCCCTTCAAGTAGGGCTATGGTCATCCAATCATTTTGCGGAGGTTTTAGTAAGAACTAACTTAGGGCGGCCTAGCAACAAAAGCTGGTGAGTAAGAACCGGTCTTGGATAGATATTGATGAGATTCAGGGTAAATAAGCACCATAGACTAAGATCTGAAAATAGATGATTGCATTTCAAAAACACATGTCATCTAGTGGTGACTGAGAGGGCGAAGAAAATGTTAGAGGTGAATATAATCATGATGTGATGAATAAAAGAACTGGAGAACTGGACGAAGGACGAGATTTTACAGGAACCTCCAACATTTCGTGTGAAGACTACAGGACTTTGGCCCGAGGTATACCAGTTATAAGTAGTACCCTCCGGTAAACATACAAAAAATACAAAAAAATATGGAACATCACCATTTGTCTATGGGTAAATCCACTATTTCTATGGGCCATGTTCAATAGCTATGTTAGTTTTCCAGAGGGTAACAAAACACCGTTTATGGTTCATGTATAATCCCATAGAAATAACAAGTTCTGACTAATAGGCATGGGCATCCATTTGCATAACTGTATGGTTTCCTCTTTCCTGTTGTTGTTTCCCCGAAAATCAACGCATCAAGCGTCAATGCGACGATTCAACGGTGGATACTCGGAATGTAAACCCATGCAGCGTATGTCTATAGTTGGTGGTTGAGCCTACCCCTCTGAAAAATATGAGTTCGTCAGTTGGGAATATGAAATTCCCAATCTGAATAGAAAGTCATAGAATTCCATGGTTCCAGTCACCACCAACCAGACTATTATTAGATTCCCATCAATACTATCCATTAACCACTGTGAAAATCACCATGAAAAACTACCGATTGTCAATCACGATGAAAAACTAGGGATTTCACTCGCCATGCAGCGTATGTCTATATGGCAATGTGGGATTCACCGCCTGCACAATCCCCATGGCATTTTTGTTGGGAAACCATATCCGAATGGGATGTTTTTGTTGCATTGGCTGGCTTTCCCACAATAAATCACTATAACACCACTATAAATAACTATCCCACCATTTATAGTGATATTATAGTGATATTTGGATACTTGTAGTGATATTTATATAGGGATATCCCACCATTTATAGTCAATTATAAATAGTTGCTTTTCCCAATAGAATAATAAGTCAATGGGATATAACTTGGGTTATCTCACCTACGGCTCTGGGTTTCCCACGTTACATCAGATAAATAGTGGTTTAACAGGAAACACAAATTATCTTTGTTAATGTTAAAATGAAAATTCAGAACAGGGGTCGTGCCCCAGTTCGATAGCTAAGTTACTTTATAACTCCAAGTTCTCTAAGGTTTATGGGCTTTGTATCTTTAGTTGCTTTAGCTAAGGGAGTTTATAAACCAACAAACATCACTGGGAGGGAATCACCTTGGAATAATATTTCATAAGCTGGTTTACAAAACCCATTAACTAATATTACCTATAGTAGAAACACCATAATATATATATATATTAAATATACTTATATAAATAATCTTAAATATACACATACCTATGGTCAATCTTTGGTAGTCCACCAAAAAAACAAGTTATGTTCCATCTATCGCTCAAAACTAAAGGATTCAACTACCATCCAAGATTGGTGATGCTAAGCATGCTATGGGAACTCACCATTTTTTAAAAGTAAATCATGATAAATCAACGTCAATCATCAATTTCAATGAACACAATCCATAGCTACAATGTGGCGCCTCTCAATCTCTCAGTTATAAATTGCTTTATAAACCCCATGAATACTACAGTTATGCGCGTATCACAAACCAAAGTTATTGAAGTTATTTGCACCAACTTAGCTATCTAGTTTAATATGGTCTAATATGGTTTTCTTCCATTGATATCCCATGATACATCCCTCAGAAACCTCGCCGGCGCCGGAGCCATCGGAATTGGAATCACCTCGACCGTTGGAACCGAAAACGTATTTTTGACCGAAAACGAGGGAGACATATATGGATTTATACAGTTATGGCCCTTTACCAGTTAGAAGTACTAAGAAAACCCATAGAAATAACATGTATAAATCCCACTGAAATAGCCAGTTATAACTAATAAATGGCCATAACTGTATGGATTTATATGGACTTATATGAAGTTGGAGTAAACATCAACTTGCAAAGTTGGTTTATAACTCGAGAAAAAACTTCGGGATGATGGTGGATATGGATGGGTATGGTGGATATATCTATGGTCGGGGTCTATAACTTACAGGGTACCAACTCATGGGTTGCTGAGACACAACCCTCTGGAAACTGAACGGAACGTAGAGTCATCTATAAGCTGATTTTCCAACAATCAATGATCAAATATACAGTTGTGGCCCTTTACCAGTTAGAAGTACTAAGAAAACCCCATAGAAATAACACGTATAATCCCACTGAAATAACCAGTTATAACTAATAAATGGCCATAACTCTGGTAAACTAACAGTTTGCCAACTGGAACATCACCATCTTTAAGTTCGGTAAATCAACTAGTTCTATGGGCCATGGCTTCCATAGCTATGTAACAGTCATTACCAGAGGGTATCCCATTCATATGGTCCTGCGCGGTCTGGCGCTGCCTTTGAAGCCAACTCCTGGGCGGGTTTTGTTGGCACTCCGCCCAAAGTTGGCTCACCCTCGTCCGGCTGTAGCCGAGGTGGTGGAGTGCTTGTCGCACAGCCGCCTCATTGGGCTTGACCACCTTGAGCCTGCAGACTTCGAGCTGCGCAGGTCCGGGAATCGTGTGCAGAGGAGGGCAGAGAGGGGCAGTCGGTCACCGGTCTTGCGCTGGACGTGGCTGCGGTTCCACATTCTGATAGGTGGCTCTGACCACCGGTATTAGCTGGGTCTGTGGGAGGTGATGGAATTCCGTCCTGAATTGCAGAATGATAATCAATCTACTTAGTAATCTACTTCCCATTCTCCCCAAAATCAATATCCATCTATATCAGCAGCTATCATCTATGGACAATGTTCTTCCAGCGGAAGAAGGATCCCATTAATAAAGTCTCATGAAAAATCATGATTCTAATCCCATTGTTAATCACTATAAAATCACAATAAAATAGATCACTATTGAACAATTCTTCAACCGCTCAACTGATGCAGATGCCAAGGGCCATCATGATCGTTCCGGCAAAGCGATGCCAATCTCAGATTTTCTACGCGGCAAACAAAAAAACAAATCGCTGGTTGGAGTAAAGTAATCGAAGGAAGTTTAGAAGTCAAACTTCCGACAATATGGACAGATGAAAAGCAGAGCAGGGCAGAGGCAGAGAGAAGAGAAAGATTAGAAGAGAGAAGAGTAGAAGAGAAAGAGTCAGAAGAAAGAAGAAAGAAGATGCAGATGCGTGAAAAGGTAGGAAGTCGCGAAACACTGTGTTTTTCCAATGATTTGGGGCTCCGGAAGGTCGAAAAGTAGGCTCGCTAAAGCGGCGGGTGCGGAGCCAGCTGGCCAGATGAGTGATGAAAAATTGCACGCCGTTGTGGCGCGAAGCACATTTCCAAGTCAAAATGTGCAAAGCACACCATTCTCAGACCACTTTTGGAAGTTGAGATGTCGAAAAAAGTGCACGCCGTTGTGGCGCGAAGCACATTTCCAAGTGAAAATGTACAAAGCACACCAGCTCCGGACCACTTTTGGCAGTTGAGATGTCGAAAAAGTGCATGCCGTTGTGGCGCGAAGCACATTTTGAAGTCAAAATGTACAAAACACGCAAGCTCCGGACCACTTTTGGCAGTTGAGATGTTGAAAAAGTGCACGCCGTTGTGGTGCGAAGCACATTTTGAAGTCAAAATGTACAAAGCACACCAGCTCCGGACCACTTTTGGCAGTTGAGATGTCGAAAAAGTGCACGCCATTGTGGCGCGAAGCACATTTCCAAGTCAACATGTACAAAACACTACATGTTTGCGCCACTTTTGGAGGTTGAGATGTCGAAAAAGTGCACGCCGTTGTGGCGCGAAGCACATTTCGAAGTGAAAATGTACAAAGCACTAGGGGGTTCGGACCACTTTTGGAGGTTCAGATGTCGCTTTGCCACTTCGCTTCACTACACTACACTACGTTACCTATACTACATTACATTACGCTACACTACACTCCACAACACTACAACTACAACTACACAACTAGACTACATTCCACTACACTCCACTACATGAAATTTCACTACACTACATTACACTACACTACGCTCCACTACACTACACTACATTAAATTACACTACACTACGCTCCACAACACTACAACTACAACTACACAACTACACTCCACTACACTCCACTAAATTACACTACACTACATTACACTACACTACACTCCACTACACTACACTCCACTACGCTACACTACATTACACTACACTACCTTCCACTACACTTCACTACATTACGCTACACTACCCTCCACTACACTAGAGCTACAACTACGACCACACAACTACACTCCACTACACGAAATTACACTACACTACGCTACATTACACTACTCTACACTACATTCCATTACACTCCACTACACTACACTACATTACACTACACTACAATACACTGAATGACACTGCACCACAGATAGACAGGTAGACAGATAGACAGACAGACAGACAGACAGATAGATAGATAGATAGACAGGTAGACAGCTAACATAGACAGATGAATAGAGATAGATAGAGAGATAGATAGATAGTTAGGTAGATAGGTAGATTGTAGAATAGGTTAGATAGGTGATAGGTAAATTCGATGAAGCGAGAAAGAGAGAGATAGATAGCTAGATAGATAGATACATAGAAGATAGATAGGTAGGTAGATAGTCAGAGAAAGAGAGAGACAGAGAGGAGACCTCAAGCACCTTTCGGTCCATCAGTGGATTCGCTCTGCCATCCCTGATTCACAACAACCAACCTCTCCTTTAGGCTTCCTATTCTTGAAACTTCCGCCACCGCCTTGTGCGGTACTACTGGTAGCTATCTAAGATGGAAAAGTCGGAGTAAAACATAGTAAAACCATCTATATCAACCAGCAAACATACTAAAAAACAGACTTTACTCAAAAAAAAAACATATCCCGCAAAAACATCAAAGGAGTATATAAAGTAATAGCTATCTAAGATGGAACCAGCCGTATGGCAAGTTTTGACCCATTGTTGTTTTGCATGAAACGAGCAAAATGCTATCATCACTGTCAAACAGCATCAGTTTCAGAGGTAAAATCCCAAATCCCGTTGAAGTCTTGCTCAGTAGCCCTTACTGCCCAGTCTTCATTAGTTGCCTCCTCCGTCTTGATGGTATATCCCGGTAGCAAATTCTCTAGCATTCCTCAAATCGGCCAGGACACTTTCGTTTTTACCACGTCTTCCATGATCATTCTTGGCACCTGTCAACTGTCCACAGAAGGCTGTTGGGTGGTCAAAAATGACTTGGTGCGTCTAACAAAGATGTAATTCAGATGTATCATGATATATCCATCAATATTGGGGATCATATGCAAAACATGCCTGTGTCTCAAAATAGGATGCCCCAAAACATGATGCCTGACCACAATCCTCCCAACTTAGAAACAGACCCATAGGTTTAAAGAAGCCGTGTATCCTCAGTGTTCATGTTCAACCCCAACAGCTAGGATTTACAACTTGAGTTTCTACAGTTATGGCCCTATAGGCCAGTTAGGGCCACGGGTTTATAACTCCTGCAACTAAGGTTATATCACTTAAATATACTTAAATGAAGTTTTCTTCAGCCACTTAGAACTGTTAGGGCTTAGTATTCAGCCATTTTCAATATGTTCCAAAGAATTCATGGATAATCCAGGTTTTATGTGCATCCATAAACAATTAGTGGTTGCTGATTTTTCATCAGTTAAATATGTTAATCCAGTTTTTCCAAAAGTGGTATAATTTCATCCATAATCTTTGGAATAACTACGTTCATCCATATTATAAATCAGTTATAATTTCCATTGATATATGGATAATATATACTAATGTTCATCCATAATCTCAGTCCATGGCTCCAGTCCCACCATTTTTTTCGGTGCATTTTTAAGGGATGATCCCCCCATACTCGACAATATTACATAATTTAGACCTCGTGCAATGTGGCCCCCCCAGTGAAGTTTGATGGTTTATAAACCCCATGAATACTATAATAGTTATAGGTACCATAAACCATAGTGAAATTGGAGTTATAAACCAACTTAGCTATCTTGGGGGCCTGCGATATGTTTCCTGGATCCATACATTAAACATCTAAAGAATTATTTATGTATTTATATGTATATATATATATTAATGTATACTTCTACAAGTCGTTGCCCTTACACGATAGTTGTCTGTTCGTCAACAAAACAACGCAATTTCCAATTCATCAGGGTTCGACTGGTAGACTGGTAGACATATGGAACTGGCTAATGGGGTGTACAATGGCTGAGAAACAAACAAACATTTCACTGGGGGTCAGCAGCTTGTGCCATGGTGATCCCTCTGGCTTGAAACGGGGGCCTGCAAGCTTTACCCACTTGGGTTCATCGAAATCTGGCATGACCTGAATGGCAAGAACTGCGAGCAAAATGGGTGGAGTTCACCAACCAGCGCATGCTGAGTCACCCTAGATCCACTGGAAAATATAGACCACTTTTTTTTGTCTATTTCCCCATGACAAACATTAATGTTTAGCTCCTGCAACTGTTTAAATGCTGACCTCAAGAATCAGATGGAAGCCACTGATGAAAGAAGTGTCTGTTGCAACCTGGACTTGCCCATGCTACCGGGTGGGCGATTGGAAACAATATGAGTCAAACAGCGAAACACGCATTGTTAACGTTACTTGACACATGTATAAATGTATCGTGAGGGATACAATATAGTCATGTTGCAGGCAGTTGCAGCCTAAGATATCATCACATTCATTCAACCTTACTAAACATGACATTGAAAAACAAACACTCAGCGAGTGTTACCCAAATATCAACCCATTCTGTTTCATAAATGGCATGATCACCATATTCCCACCATATCCCGCCCATCTCGGCTCGCTACGGTGAGTCCGACGGCAGGATTCTCGTAACCCTTTCACTAAGTCACTACAGTTATGGCCCGAAATACCAGTTATAAATACTAATAAAAGCCCATTTATAAAAGGTATAATCCCACTTATAACCAGATAAAACTAATAAATGGCCATAACTGTAATACCTGGATGATTTATAATAAATCACAGACCACAGACCTGATGTAAGGCAATTTTGGGATAGTTACCATTATTAAGCATAATCTACATTATTGTGCCCCTAGACTAACATAGACAAAACAATCCTGAAAAAAAAAACGGTCATCCAGATCTTCCAGAATATGTATATATTGTATATTGCCATGTCTTGTTAAAACTTCCGAACATATTCCACAAGTGTCTGTGGGTAAACAAAAAACTCTGACACAAACTGGACGCACGACATTGAGATATGCAAAGCAGCTAAGCATGATCAGTTTCTGAGCAACTGATGCGAATATGTGTTGTAATACCTCTGGCTTGTTTCCCCTAGGGAACTTCTTCATACGTTGGCTGAACATAAACGGCTCAGCCGGCTCAGTGTATCATGATGGTCTCATGCGGTCAATCATGCGGGTGGCCGGATTCTAGTTCTAACCCAATGCCTCGCCAAGTCTCACGCAGAAATTGCAAGAATCCATGAACTCACGAAGGATGGCGTTCTGATCGAAATCAGCACGTTCAACAAGGCAGTTTTGGCAATGTCACGGGCTCCTGGGACCTTCTAGTCGTTCTCAAGTTGTGCTTCCAGTGTCGAGTCAGTCCACGATTTGTGGACACCTCCAAGGCTGCGAGGAGGTAGACTCTTTGTGCTCAACCTCCCGGTAGTGAAACCGTTGTCATCGATAGGTCGCTTTTGATCGCGTTGTTCATGATAAAGCGCCCCACGTTGTTACAAGGCCCAGCTTTGTGCAAAGATGTGGATTAAATTCTGTTAAGCCCTATATATATATTATATGAATCACAAGTGGATTGTGTTATAATGGTGATATAATATATAAATGTATATAGGGTAAAATGAAATATAAGGGGATGCCCTCGGATATACCGAAGCGGAGATGTTGAAATGTATAACAGGAATATGACATTGGTATGGTCCACAACGAAATACATACCAACATGACCATCAGCAATAAGGAAGCTGATCGCAAATCACTGCAGTTATGGCACTTTACCAGTTCTAAGTACTAAGTCATCCCATTCACAATATGATATAATCCCACTTATAACCAGTTATAACTAATAGCCATGGCCATTACTGTGTATTTTTTGGGTGGCCTATTTTTGGATAGCCGTGAACACCAAGGGGCTGTAGCAAAGGCATGACTGTAGCTGTTCTCCATGAACTGCAAGATAGAGACCATGTCGCTTGGTTGTACCTGGCAACTTCAAAAGAGGACCTTCTACATGGCGCAGTTTTGGCCATTTTTTAGTTATAACTGGATATTTCTATGGAATTATACATGTTATAAATGGGGTTTTCTTAGTACTTATAACTGGTAAAGGGCCATAACTGTGGGAACCCCGTTTGCGATATATACAAAGCCTGGGGCCCACAAAATAACTAAGTTGGTGAACATATCTACAATAACTATCAATGGGAATTCCAGGATCCTAAAATGGAGGTACTGTACCGTATAAGGCCATATTTTGTAGGGATATTCCCTTACATATGCCTTCTATGGGCCTTATACCGTATACGGTAGGTACCTCGAATTTAGGTTCCTGAAATGGTCATTGAAATTGAAACTATGATTGATTAGGGGAATATATCTATAGTTAGGTGGAGTTGTGTACCAACTTGTCACGTTTTTTGGCCCGACTATGTAGCTGAGCTGGTGAACATAGCTCCGATAACTATGGTTTACCGGGCCATACAGTTTTAATTGATTGCTTTACAAAGCAACTTATACCTCGGGGAGCCTACCTTGTATGATAGAAGCAAAGCAACAGGTGAGATATGATGAGACCATGATCAATGAGGTTGTTCGCGGCAAACAAACATATTCAGATGCCATTTTAGATAGATGGATCTAAATGTGGGGCAAATTGTCTACTTTGACTGGCGACACTTGTGTTTAATCTTGTGCCGAAAAAAACACTTGAAATCATGGTCAAACTTACAAATCTTAGATACCCTTATGTTTTTTGGTTGGTTGAAAAAAAAACATATATCCATCATCTATAGCAAAAATCAAGGACTCAACTATCCAATCCAACTTGGGTTGACTCTTCCTCAGGTAATGACTGTTTCAACATACATCATACAGTTGAGGCCCAAAAAATCTAAATCAGTGAAATACCACCATTTGTGGAATCAGAAGCCCATAGAAATATAGAAATAACCATTTATAATATTTGATAATTGATATTTCGGGTCTTAACTGTATGGGTCTGTTTCATAGGGGAAACACTGATGAATGATTAATCATTAAACTTTGGGATACCCAAGTTTCAAACAAACCAGAAACTACCGGGGCGATACCCCTTGGCGATCACACCAGCATTGGTTGGCACGCTCTGGTTGCTTCTATCTTGTTGATGCGATATTCATGCCGAAAGCACACCTGAGCTGAAAGCTATTTCTTGCTTGGTTTGCATGGACCGTTCCAGTATCCGCACTAATTGTTGCACTATCTGGATATATGATATGCCTGCATTCTGGCTGGAAACAAATCAGTACCAAACAAAATCATCATCATCAACCATTCTATTCTCCTGACGATTTTAGTATTGTATAGTCCTTTTTGACCATGATTTACCATTCTATTCTGCAAGGTGGTGCCCCCGAGTTATTACTGTAGTTGGTTTATACACCATAAGCAGCTATATTATACATCAACAATAAACATCCATAAACCCTAGTGACTGGAGTTAAATGAATCATATGAAATCTTAACGCGTTATAGCCAACTTTTCAAACTATGGGGCACCACCTTTTTTCATTTTTTCTATATTATATTCTACAGATATGGCCCGATTTATACCAATTATAAGTACTAACAATTCACCCCATCTATGGTTTATGTATAATCCCATAGGTTAATAACCAGTTATATGACTTTCATAGCCATGGCCATACTGTACTATATTTCAACCATTTTTGCCAGCTCCACGAGTCATCCCCGGGCACCGGCCCAGCGCTACCCAGACCGGATCGCCTTCATGGGCATCTCGAGTGTCACCATGGCTGCAGAATCCCGCTGTAGTCGGTAGGGCCAGGGATCGTTTTGCGAAAACTCCACACGGAAACAACAGAAAACAGCCTCTGCTCACCGATGATTTTTGGGATATTTTTCTATGGAATATTTTTCGGAATCACTGGACTGGATGAGTTTTGATGACAGATCTAGAATTTCTTTTCATCGACAAAGAGGTCTGATTTTTCATTGCCGCTGGCCCTCCGACTTTCACCTCGTCTCTCGAGGGGTCGTTTACAGAGAGGTCGTCTGATTGGTTGCAGGGCGACCAACTGTTCGAGCCCGCGGCCGCCATGGTCGGATAGTCACAGCGAATCCGGCTCTGGCTCTGGAAATGTCGGAATCCCACAAAAACCCAGTGGTGTATTACTCCTATAAAACTTGGGATGTCTCATATATGTATGTGGAAATGGTAAACGGATCATATGATTATAAATCCCTTATAGATCCAAGTACCTTCTGAGGGGGTATTAGGGGCATGATTTGGGGGGTTAAGTCCCTTCTCAGCAAGTATTTGGATCCATAGGGTATTAAGAATACCCAGATGCTCCATGTATGTAATAATTTACCTACATTTACCCGAAAAATGGCTCAAATGTAGGTAAATATTCCAGCACCATGGAGCATCTGGGATAGAATAGGTTCATCGTAGTTCATTGAACTTGACTAAGGTCAACATAGATCAACGATTTCTGTTCTCAAAAATGAGGACCCCAAGTGAGCATCCAAGATATGGAAAGCAATAGTTTTTGGGTACCCTTATTTTTGGGTTGGTGGTTTCAACCCCTCTGAAAAATAGTAGTCAATGGAAGGATTATCTCATATATGATGGAAAATGAAACATGTTTGAAACCACCAACCAGTTTTGAGAAAGACCCATGGGTTTTTGAGAAAGACCATATGCTCATTCAGGGCCCTCAATTACTTGTCCCTTTTTTACCATCCCCAATGAGCGCGTTTGGAATTTGGGCAATGCCAGTGTTCAAGGTGCTTGAAGCGACTTTTAACCATGATGGTGATATCGGTGATATCAACAACAGGGAGCATAATTGGCACAAGATCAACATGATCTAACCATATCTATACTGGTTGGTGGTTTCAACCCCTCTGAAAAAATGTGAGTTCGTCAGTTTGGATGATGAAATTCCCAATGTATGGAAGCATAAAATTGATGTTCCAAACCACCAATCAGTATATAACTTATATAACCTATGCAAGTTTGATTATATAACCTTCACTGGAATCAACATGAATCAACCCTTAAATGGACACAGAAAGCCAGTGGAGGTGGGCTTGATGACTAGCTTCGCGACACAGGACACGATGGTTTACCGGATTAATGGATTATTCATGAAATACCCTCTGGTAATGACTAACAGTTTGCTATTGAAAATAGCCATAGAAATAGGTGATTTTTTGCCATTAAAAATGGTGGATCTTTCCATAGTTATGTGGCTGTTTACCAGAGGGTAACCATATTATGTGATTTCATCATATTGTGATTCCTTTTTAAAACAATCATCATCCTACAATGCTTCACGAAAAGGCAGGACGGTTGAAATCAACCACAAAATCATGGGATAAGTTTAACCTTGGATGGTTTTTCAACCCTATAAATACTGGGATGTTTACCAACCACCAACTGGTGCAGAAACTATATGATTCCCAATTATTTTTTTGGGATAACCCACAGTATTGATGGTAAACAAATATCCTTATCAGGGTGGGTTATTAAACCACCAATAAACCATGAATCGACAGTCGGTGCTTCCCCGGAGGCGAGACCTGTCGGGGGTCACGAAAATAGTTCCAGTGTTTTTTACGTGAGTTTTAATGGTGAAAACACTGGGATAACTATGTTGTAATGGTTAGGTAACTATTTATACTATAGTAACTATAATCCACAGTTAGCTTGGGGGGTACTATAGTTACTACAAAGTTATGTATGGAGAAAGCATTAACCATAAACCTGTGTATTTATACAACTGTGACTAATCTCGAATTTTAGTTGGTGTTACTATGGTGAATAAACCATAAACCAACAAACATGTCACTGGGCACCACTTTGCACATCCAAAAGGCGGCGCTGCGGCGGGCCTTCCGTGCGCTTCTGGGCAACTTGACCACACGCCTGCGATAGGGAGACTTGAGATTCGGAAGTGCATTCCTTGATACAGTGGAATATGGATTGGTTCGAGGAAAAATCAAGCGGAAAGCATGACATATCCCATGAACACTCCATTAAAACACGATTTTGGAGAGAAGCCACAATCATCCATAATCAATAGATTGCCATAGCTTGCTAAAAAAAGAGAGCCCATTAAAACTGCTTGTTCCACATGTTGAAGCCCATTCATGGGAAATAAACACCCTGAGGCTCCAGTTCTTTGTTGGCTTCAAACCAGTCCGTTTGTTGAATGGAATGGATCATCATCCCAAACACCCTCTGGTAAACTAACATAACTATGGAAAATGGCCCAGTTATAGTTGATTTACCTATTAGAAGTGGTGATTTTCAATAGCAAACTGTTGAATGATCAGAGGGTACCATGGAAAATCAAAGATGTTTCGATTTCAAATCGCCAGCCACTTTTCCACTTTTCCACCACTTTTCCACTTGGCTGACCATCTGAGTGCTGTGGCTGGCGATTTCTACCAGCGAAAAGGTCAACAAAAACAGCGTTGAGAACCTCAAATGACCAGCAGTCCAGAACAATCTAAGTCCTCACTTTACCCCCTGGTACTTTAAGACTTTGCTATTGAAGCCATGGCCCATAGAAATAGTTGATTTACCTCTTCAAAATAGATCAAAAGAACGTGGTTTTCCAGTTCCTATGTATGTTGACCAGGCTTTGTCCCGGCCAGGTGACGGCCCTCGGTGATTAATTGGTCAACACCAACTGAAAAAAAGTGGACCCGTAGTTAGCCAACAAATTGTTGCTAAAGAATTTGTTTTTCAAACATATCATATCATCTGATTGATGCCACATTTATTTCTTAACACTGTGAATGAACATTATTCATCTTTTTGCTGGTTAAACACTATCCCATTGTGGTCATAAGCAACCGATGTTGGCTTGAAAACAAATATGCAAAGAAAACGCCAGTATTCATCACCAACATGTGTTGGGCAATTCCGTAAAACTTGCCACCAAAAACTATCACCAATTCCTGTTCAACTGTACCAAGCATATCAATGATAATAACCTAATCTTGGCTCCAACAACAAGTGCATTCCCAGCAAAGGCATAAATCATCACGGTGAATCTTTGACATCTGCCAAACAATCCATTTCTTCGCTGCTTAGACATCACTTTACCATATATAGCCAAAGATGAAGTTGTACTAGTACCCTCTGGTAAACAGCCACATAACTATGGAAAATCACCATTTTTAATGGGTAAATCAACTATGAATGGCCATTTTCAATAGCAAACTGTTAGTTTAACAGAGGGTACATCATATTAATATCCCATTCATATCCCATTAATAAAGTCCCATTACATCATGATAAATCGCATTGAACCACTATAAAATACCATAAAATCACTATAACCAGTCGGTCGACCCAGCAATTTCTCCTAGAAAAACCCATGATCGCTGTGCGGCCTGGCGAAACCTTGACATCCTGCAATCCAAGCGCAGCGGAACGCGCCATCCGCGCCATCGCTGGCCTCGTGGCCATTGGGAAAGCCATGGAAATCAGAACTATGCTGGGTACCCTTTGGTAAACTAACGTAACTATGGAAAATAAATGGCCATGTTCAATAGCTATGTTAGTTCAGAGGGTATATATCAACTGCTTGGGAAACTTTCTTGCACCAAAGTCTCATTTAAAACAAAAAACATCCATCAAAGCTCTAAGGGCCAACCTTTCAAATCATGAAAACAACACATGTCTCCGCTACAGGATGGGCCCCCCGTTCGTTGGTTGTTGCGTTCAGTTGCCGAACATGGAAGTGGCTTGAATTCTATGATTTATGGTAGATATAGCTATACATAACTATGGCACATCCTTCTCAACAGTTGTTCGATCTTGGGCAGGATTGGGTTGATGCCATGGTGCACCAATCTCACGTCTCCGAGCAGATCTCAACCGAGGTCTGGATCGCACCTCGAAAGTGTGTCGAGGTTCCGCCTCCAAGTCCATATCACTCTCTGAGGCCACGTTGCTCATGCTTCTGGGAGTTGACAAAGGTGAAGGCTTGTAGGAAGAATCGTCACTGACCGACTCAAGGTTGCAGTCCAGTGGCCAAGACCTCCTTGCAAACTCATGCTTCTCCGGATTCCAATACTCCTCGACCTGATGAAGGTACAGCAGGCAGACGAGTGTGCCCTCGTCATAGGGGCCAAGGCTGCACATTAAAGTGAGACCACGCGTGACCCTGTCCACCCGCGCTGCAATGTATGGCGCCAGATTACCTATGGTTTATGGTAGATATAACTATAGTTCATGGGGTTTATAAACGAACTTTCACATCGCTGGGGTGGCACGAAATCCTGTATAGTCTGACACAAGAGAAACATAAACTGTCCCACTCCACGACCCCAACACATCTTCCAACCTTAGCGGTGGGGTGTGTACATTGGTGTTCATTGGCTAAATTTAGATAGTTAATATATGTAAATATTGGGTATAGTCCGGTGAATGGCACTTCACTCCTCATCTTTAAAGATAACGCCCCAATGTTCATTGCTTAAAACATTTAAATCTATGTTTTTTTTGCTACGGCATTCCTTGTATCACTGACGAAGTTGTTTGGCTAAACCCACGCATTGGATTTTTTGTTTGTGAAAATCCATCGGCTTACAAGGTGCTGCCCCATAGTTAGCTAAGCTGGTTTTAAAATGTCATATTCAAAGAACTTCAAAGATATATCTACTATAAACCCTAGTGACATGTGGACCAATTTAGCGAACAAACTGGAACACCACGTTGCACTTAAGCTTGCTTCAATCCCTATATTTCCCGGATTTAGGTCCCCACCATCATAGCCCTGAACACTTAAAACTGGCTGATAATGGTATATAACATTATATAACCATAGTCCATTACATGGGTTCAAAAAATATCACCATTTATGGCTGAATTGGCTGTTAAGGGATGTTGAGGGCCATAACTGCATGTTTCACCCAAAGTTTCAATGACACCCCGGCTCGCACCTGCCAGTTCTTGCCTCGACGCTGCGGACGCGGATGCGGACGCTGCGGACGCAGATGCGAGCTGAAGAGGCTGCCTTTGAAGGTGTGTAGAGAAGGGAAGTAAAATGGCCTACATGTTCTTGTTTTTCCCGAGAGCGTCTGAGCGCAGGGTTCTTCCAATAGTGGGGGTCTGTAAAACATCTTCTCATCTTCACATCTTCTCATCTTCACATCTTCTCATCTTCACATCTTCTTATCCTCACATCTTCTCCTCATCTCCTCATCTTCTCATCTTCACATCTTCTCATCTTCACATCTTCTCATCTTCTCATCTTCACATCTTCTCATCTTCACATCTTCTCACATCTTCTCATCTTCACATCTTCTCATCTTCACATCTTCTCATCTTCTCATCTTCACATCTTCTCATCTCCTCATGTTCTCATCTTCACATCTTCTCATCTTCACATCTTCTCATCTTCACATCTTCTCATCTTCACATCTTCTCACATCTTCTCATCTTCCCATCTTCTCACATCTTCTCACATCTTCTCAAATCTTCTCACATCTTCTCAAATCTTCTCACATCTTCTCACATCTTCTCACATCTTCTCACATCTTCTCACACCTCCACTCACATCTTCTCACATCTTCTCACATCTTCTCACATCTTCTCACATCTTCTCACATCTTCACATCTTCACATCTTCTCATCTCACATCTTCTCCTCTTGCCCTCTTGCCCTCTTGCCTTCTTGCCCTCTCCTTCTTTTCTATTTCTCTTTTGAAGGCGGGAGCAGGGGCAGTGCCAACGAGACGGCACGAAACGCAACCCTTTCGCACGAAATGAGGGTCGATCGGCAAAAACTGAGGTAAAATTGCGATTTGACTTGTGCCGGAGCAACCCTTTCGCACGAAATGAGGGTCGATCGGCAAAAAACTGAGGTAAAATTGCGATTTTACTTGTGCTAAGCAACCCTTTCGCACGAAATGAGGGTCGATCGTCAAAAACTGAGGTAAAATTGCGATTTTACTTGCCCCCGGAGCAACCCTTTCGCACGAAATGAGGGTCGATCGTCAAAAACTGAGGTAAAATTGCGATTTTACTTGTGCCGGACTTGTCTGTGTGTAAAAGCGTCTGTGTGTAAAAGCGTCTGTGTGTAAAAGCGTCTGTGTGTAAAAGCGTCTGTGTGTAAAAGCTTCTGTGTGTAAAAGCCTTTGTGTGTACAAGCGTCTGTGTGTAAAAGGGTCTGTGTGTGAAAGTGCCTGTATGTAAAAGCTTCTGTGTGTGAAAGCTTTTGTGTGTAAAAGCTTCTGTGTGTAAAAGCTTCTGTGTGTAAAAGCTTTTGTGTGTAAAAGCGTCTGTGTGTAAAAGCGTCTGTGTGTAAAAGTGTCTGTGTGTAAAAGCGTCTCTGTGTAAAAGCTTCTGTGTGTAAAAGCGTCTGTGTGTGTGTAAAAGTCTCTGTGTGTAAAAAGCGTCTGTGTGTAAAAGCGTCTGTGTGTAAAAGCGTCTGTGTGTAAAAGGGTCTGTGTGTAAATGTGTTTGTGTGTCAAAGCCTCTGTGTGTAAAAAGCGTCTGTGTGTTCAAAGCGTCTGTGTGTAAAAAGCGTCTGTGTGTAAAAGCGTCTGTGTGTAGAAGCGTCTGTGTGTAAAAGCGTCTGTGTGTAAAAGTGTTTGTGTAAAAGTGTTTGTGTGTAAAAGAGTCTGTGTGTAAAAGCTTCTGTGTGTAAAAGCGTCTGTGTGTGTAAAAGTCTCTGTGTGTAAAAGTGTCTGTGTGTAAAAGCGTCTGTGTGTCAAAGCGTTTGTGTGTAAAAGCGTCTGTGTGTAAAAGTGTTTGTGTGTAAAAGTGTTTGTGTAAAAGTGTTTGTGTGTAAAAGCCTCTGTGTGTAAATGTGTTTGTGTGTCAAAGCCTCTGTGTGACTCTGTGTGTAAAAAGCGTCTGTGTGTCAAAAGCGTCTGTGTGTAAAAGCGTCTGTGTGTAAAAGCGTCTGTGTGTAAAAGGGTCTGTGTGTAAAAGCGTCTGTGTGTAAAAGCTTCTGTGTGTAAAAGCCCCTGTGTGTAAAAAGCGTCTGTGTGTAAAAGCGTCTGTGTGTAAAAGCGTCTGTGTGTAAAAGTGTCTGTGTGTAAAAGCGTCTGTGTGTAAAAGCGCCTGTGTGTAAAAAGCGTCTGTGTGTAAAAGCCTCTGTGTGTGAAAGTGTTTGTGTGCAAAAGCGTCTGTGTGTAAGCGCCTGTGTGTAAAGGAGTCTCTGTGTAATTAAAAGCTTCTGCGTGTAAAAACCTCTGTGTGTGAAAGTGTTGGTGTGTAAAAGCGTCTGTGTGTAAAAGCTTCTGTGTGTAAAAGCGTCTGTGTGTGTGTGTGTAAAAGTCTCTGTGTGTAAAAGCGTCTGTGTGAAAGCCTCTGTGTGTAAAAGCGTCTGTGTGTCAAAGCGTCTGTCTGTAACAGTCTCTGCATGTGAAAGTGTTTGTGTGTAAAAGCGTGTGTGTAAAAGCGTCTGTGTGTGTAAAAGTCTCTGTGTGTAAAAGCGTCTGTGTGTAAAAGTCTCTGCGGGTAAAAGCCTCTGTGTGTAAAAGTCTCTGTGTGTAAAAGAGCCTGTGTGTAAAAAGTGTCTGTGTGTAAAAGCGTCTGTGTGTAAAAGGGTCTGTGTGTAAAAGCGTCTGTTTGTAAAAGCTTCTGTGTGTAAAAGCGCCTGCGTGTAAAAAGCGTCTGTGTGTAAAAGCGTCTGTGTGTAAAAGCGTCTGTGTGTAAAAGAGCCTGTGTGTAAAAAGCGTGTCTCCATAGTAACAACAGAAGACTCTGCTCCTCTACGCTCTCGGGCCATCCGTCGTCTAGTTTTTCAATTATGTTTGGTGTTTGAATGGAGGTTAAATATAAACTAAATTGTGATTTCATTGATTTTAATGCGATTTCATAGGGGATTTATCCTCTGGTAAACGTACAAACTGCCAATGAAATTCATCATTTTTAATGGACAAATCAATGAAACTCACCTATAAATGTTAAATTACCAGAGGGTAGGTTTGATGTTTTGACTGATAGCCTGGGTGTCAGCAGATCTAGTCAATGCATAATACCTGGGGATGGGTGCACTCAAAACCACATTAATAGCCTGGAGTGCATAGCCCAATTCTCCTTGCAAGCTTCCAGAAGCTAGCACAGGGTTCTTGGCCGCGATGAGATCGATCATGATCACATCGATCATAATGGTTCCTGTCCCTGTGCGGGCCAATCGTCCAAGGAAGAGAGCAACCACCCGTCCCATGATACTATTCTTCGTGCTGCAAAATGCTCTGAAGAGCTTTGATGTAAGGTGTGTTGCCACCTCTCATCAATTGTGATCCAATTGGATTCAGGTTCTTGTATGCTGGTGTGCTGAGGGTGGACTGAAGGGAGAATCCAGCAATTTCAGTTCCCAAGGCCTTGATGAGTCTTTCCGTGTATTCCTTCACAACATGAACATTGTCTCCCTTTTGCCGCTTCAAAGCTACCACGGTGAAGACATAGTATTTGCCCATAGAAATGTCCATGGACGTTTTGATGTGATTGACCGCCACCTTGTTCAAGTAGTTTTCGATTTTTTGATGTTCAACTATAGAAGCACCATGTCACACGCCAACTATTACAAACTACCTTGTTTGATTTTGAGATTTATGTTACCATGTAAATCATGTAACTATAGTAACTATATAGATTTTATACGATCTATCCACCACAACTCCAATCGTTTGCTTACTTAATCTTACTTATAACATGTTCTAAAATGAGTTACCCAACTAGAGGGACACACATTGTTGGACCACTTCTTGAATGGTTTATTTTAAGTGAACATCTACAGGAAATCACTGCTTTTCTTACCGCCAAAAAAAATACTTTACTTCGTGTGATCCCCACCATGACATTTATACATGTTCTTACTGGCACATCTTCTGGCATTCTATCTGACATATCTTCTGACATTCTATTTGGCATTCTATCTGGCATATCTTCTGGCATTCTATCTGGCAATCTTCTGGCATTCTATCTGGCAAATCTTCTGGCATTCTATCTGGCATATCTTCTGGCATTCTATCTGACATATCTTCTGGCATTCTATCTGGCATATCTTCTGGCATTCTATCTGGCATATCTTCTGGCATTCTATCTGGCATTCTTCTGGCATTCTATCTGGCATATCTTCTGGAATATCTTCTGGCATATCTATCTGGCATATCTTCTGGCATATTTTCTGGCATTCTACCTGGCAAATCTTCTGGCACTCTATCTGACATTTTATCTTCCTACATGAGGTCCGGCAGGGAACACTTGGCGTGGATACTCGCGGTTGAGGTCCGGCAGGGAACACTGGGCGTGGATGGTCGTGGTTGAGGTCCGGCAGGGAACACTGGGCGTGGATGGTCGTGGTTGAGGTCCGGCAGGGAACACTGGGCGTGGATGGTCGTGGTTGAGGTCCGGCAGGGAACACTGGGCGGTGATGGTCGTGGTTGAGGTCCGGCAGAGAACACTGTGGATCGCGGGTCGCAGTTGGACGAGGACGACGAGGACGACGAGGACGACGAGGACGACGAGGACGACAAGGACGACAAGGATGACAAGGAGGACGAGGAGGACGAGGAGGAGAGGAGGAGGAGGAGGACGAGGCAGGAGGAGGCAACTGACATAAAATCTAACAACCCTCACCTGGCAGGTGGGGAACAAGATGAAGCCCACGAACCCGAATGCTCACACGTATGTTAATGGTACAGATGTCAAAACACATGGTTATGCAGTCACGCACAATACCTTTCTGCAATAGTTTATTTGAACAGTCTTGTACATGTTTCCCTTGTTACCAGTCTGCAGTGTGGAGTGTGGAGTGTGAAGTAAGGAGTGTGGAGTGTAAAGTGTGAAGTGGGGAGTGTAGAGTGTGTAAAATGTAGAATGCGGAGTGTAAAGTGTAGAGTGTGGAGTATGGAGTGTAAAGTGTAGAGTGTGGAGTGTAGAGTGTGGAGTGTGGAGTGTAGAGTGTAGAGTGTGGAGTGAGGAGTGTAAAGTGCAAAGTGTGGAGTGTGGAGTGTAAACTGAGGAGTGTAAAGTGTGCAGTGAGGAGTGTGGAGTGTAAAGTGAGGAGTGTAAAGTGTGGAGTGAGGAGTGTGGAGTTTGTAACTTGTAGAGTGTGAAGTGTAGAGTGTAAAGTGCAGAGTGTAAAGTGTGGCGTGTGGAATGTAGAGTGTAGCGTGTGGAGTGTGGAGTGGAAAGTGTAGAGTGTGGTGTGTAGAGTGTGGAGCGTGGAGTGTAAAGTGTGGAGTGTAGAGTGTGGAGTGTAAAGTGTAAAGTGTAGAGTGTGGAGTGTGGAGTGTAAAGTGTGGAGGAAGGAGTGTAAAGTGGAGAGCGTGGAGTGTAAAGTGTCAAGTGTGGAGTGAGGAGTGTAAAGTGTGGAGTGTGGAGTGTAAAGTGTAGAGTGTGGAGTCTGGAGTGCAAAGTGTGGAGTGTAAAGTGTGGAGTGTAAAGTGTGGAGTGTAAAGTGTGGAGTGAGGAGTGTAAAGTGTGGAGTGAGGAGTGTAAAGTGTGGAGTGTGGAGTGTAAAGTGTGGAGTGGGGAGCGTAAAGTGTAGAGTGTGGAGTCTGGAGTGGAAAGTGTAGAGTGTGGTGTGTAGGGTGTGGAATGGGGAGTGCAAAGTGAGGAGTGTATAGTGTGGAGTGTGGAGTGAGGAGTGTACAGTATAAAGTGTGGAGTGTGGAGTGTACAGTAAATTGTGGAGTGTGGAGTGCGGAGTGTGGAGTGGAAAGTGTAGAGTGTGGAGTGTGGAGTGTAGAGTGGGGAGTGTGGAGTGTAGAGTGTGGAGTGAGGAGTGTAAAGTGTAAAGTGTGGAGTGTGGAGTGTAAAGTGTAGAGTGTGGAATGTGAAATGTGGAGTGGAAAGTGTAGAGTGTGGTGTGTAGAGGGTGGAGTGTGGAGTGTAAGATGTAAAGTGCGGAGTGTAGAGTGTAAAGTGTAGAGTGTGGAGTGCGGAGTGAGGAGTGTAAAGTGTGGAGTGTGGAGTGAGGAGTGTAAAGTGTGGAGTGTGGAGTGTGGAGTGTAAAGTGAGGAGTGTAAAGTGTGGAGTGTGGAGTGTAAAGTGTGGAGTGTGGAGTGTGAAGTGCGAAGTGTGGAGTGTAAAGTAAGGAGTGTGGAGTGTGGACTGTAAAGTGTAAAGTGTGGAGTGTGGACTGTAAAGTGTAGAGTGTGGAGTGTGGAGCGTAAAGTGTAGAGTGAGGAGTGAGGAGTGGAAAGTGTAGAGTGTAGTGTAAAGTGTGGAGTGTGGAGTGTAAAGTCGCAGGTGAGGAGTGAGGAGTGTAAAGTGCAAAGTGTAAAGTGTGGAGTGTAAAGTGTATAGTGTGGAGTCTAAAGTGTAAATGTGGAGTGTGGAGTGTAAAGTGTAGAGTGTGGTGTGCGGAGCTTCCCCCATAGACACGGCGACGCCACAGGAAAACCAGAGACTCGAGACGAGACACGTGGGTGCAAAAAAACAAGCATTTCGTGCGAGACTTTCTCCAATTTTGATATTTTCGACACGTTCTCAAACATGTTGGAATGTCACAAAGTGCCACGCCTGCCACGCAAAACGACATGACAACCTGCTTGGACACATTCGAATAGGAGATGTTTTCCAGCTTCCCCCATAGACACGGCGACGCCGCAGGAAAACCAGCGACTCGAGACAAGACACGTGGATGCAGAAAAACCAGCATTTCGTACGAGACTTCCTCCAATTTTGAAATTTTGTGAACATCATCAAACAGGTTGGAATGTCACAAAGTGCCACGCCTGCCACGCAAAACGACATGACAAACCAGAGACTCGAGACAAGACACGTAGGAACAGCAAAACCAGCATTTCGCGCGAGACTTCCGGCGATTTTCACAGTTGGCAACATAACAAAAGGACAGGTTTTGCAGCTTCCCCCATAGACACGGCGAAGCCACGGGCAAACCAGAGAGTCGAGACGAGACACGTGGGAGCACCAAAACGAGCATTTCGTACGAGACCCCCTCCAATTTTGACACTTTGCAGCTTCAAAATCGACGTTTTCCTACGAGTTTTCCTTAGAACCTGAAAATTTGCAACCTTAGAAAATGCCACGCCTGCCACGGAATTTGCACCTTGTCACCACTTGACGCAGCCCTGCCAATGCGATTTACAAAAAACACGCAACAGGACACGTCTAAAGTGCTGCGCCTGCCACGAAAAATGACGATGGACACGTCCAAAGTGCTGCACCTGCCACGAAAACTGCAACACATCTTCTGAAAACGTCACAAAAGTATTGCCCCTGCCACGCAAAACGACTTTCGACACGTTCCAGAACACGTCTGAATGTCACGAAGTGCCACGCCTGCCACGCGAAACGAAGCAACGACACGTCTGAAACCCCCAAAAACCACCTCTGCAGAACTTCCCATAGGCACGGCCATACGGGGATCGTGCGGACGGTTGCGAACGGTTGCGAACGGTTGCGGACGCGGAAGCGACGTCGAGCGAACACACCCTCAACCCCCAGACCCCCAGACCCCCAGAGTGAAACGGGAACCCTTGCTACGCATTCGGGAACAAAACCTGTAGAGTTTCCTTCCCAAGCAATGTGATGCCTGGCTGGTCCCCGCAACACAGCCCCAAACATTAACATCATTGGAGATCGTCGCCTTCTGTTTAGGGGAAAACATGTATTCGTTCAACATCCACTGGTTCACTTCGGGAACTGCTTCACCAGATTTTTTTGTTTTCACGGACACAAATCTTGGATCATCTTAGGTAGAAACAGTCATAAATGGGTGCCCACAGATTGATTTTCTACAACCCATTTGTGATTTTATGGGAAATTGATGGATAAACCTATTTTAAAAATTGGAAATTTCCCCACATATTATTGTTATGAGAAATTGATGAATAACATAAAATATCCTATTAATAGTCTATACCATCCTCAAATTTCCCATAAAAAAAGGTGGTCATTTTCAACGCCAACTCTGGGATGATCCCCCAGGGAATCCGATCTGGTGGCCATGTTATGAAGAAGCAACCAACATGTTATTTGTTAATCCAATACCCTCTGGTTATTTAACATAGCCATGGAAAATCCCTTATAAATGGAGGTTTTAATGGGAAAATCATCTATAAATGGGCAATTTTCCATGGCTATGTTAAATAACCAGAGGGTATTGGATTAATTGCTTACTAAATGTGTTCTTTTTTTCCAATAAGACCATTATTGTTTGATGTATCTTTGGATTTATTGGTTATTCTATGTTATTCTTGTGGCCCCATGATACCGGCGACTTCTATTCGAGGGGCACAAATAACGCCTGGGATGCTCAAGTAAACGAGAAATGATCAATATCCGGTTTCAATGTTCACCCACAGTTCTGGCCTGAGTTATACCAGTTATAAGATGTTGTAAGTACTCACAAAACCCCATTTATGGTTCATGTATAATCCCATAGAAATAAAAAGTTTTAACTAATAGCCATGGCCATAACTGCATGGCCGTTTGGTCAATTTCAATATATGGCTTGGATAAAGATAGGTGGACAATTCAATGGACCAGCAGTCCCACCAATAGTCCTTGATTTCAGCAAATTCCGCAATCGTTGACGGCGATTCAGGTGCTTGGATATGAGTCGGAATTCATAACACCTTTCGATCTGGGGTCGCGCAAAGGATTTACAATTCATCATCTAAACCTGGTTTGTGTTCAGGTGTGTAAAGCATGAACAATACTAAACGAATAACGGCAACAACGTACTTCGGGGGTGCATCCCACTTGGTAGCTGGGTTAGGTTATAAATGGTTATAAACCACATAATAAGCAGGACACACATCCAAATAGTTTCCAAATCTCAATAGGCCATATTTTGTGGGGATATTCCCTTACATAGGCCTGAAAAATAGGCCTTATATATGGAATCGGTACCTCCAATTTAGGTGTTTGCCACTCTTAAATCGACCGTTTGTCCCTCTTCCCTTGTGGCACCTTCACGATGGCCAGTGCTGAGTGACAGCATCATGTCACGCCATGACGATCGTAAACAGTTCGCAACATGTGACACCGAAATGGGGGTATGGATTGGTAATTATGGGAGTACAGGATGGGGCCCCATAGTTAGCTAAGTTGGTTTATAAGTGGCTAAAAAGTGGCTTAACAATGGTTTATGGTAGATATAACTATAGTTAATTGGGATTATATTTAATACTTACAACTATATTTGGATGGGGTTATAAACCAACTTATAACTGGAGTGCCCCATCCTGTATGAAACCACCCATTTCATGGAGATAATATAGCGATATTATGGGAATTGCCGCAGTTTCAAAAGCTACCAAATTCAGCGTGGGACAGAATGCTTTATCATGTGTTTTGCTGCCTGCAGGTGGGAATGTCCACTATTTGCAACATGTAGCCGGCAAGTTGACAAGTCTCTGGAAGTGGAAACAACCAATGATATATATGTGTCAGTTGCTCACGTGGATTCTGTGTCCAAAACCAGGCCGAAAACTGCAGTAAACATATTTTGACGATTCCAAGTCATAAGCTTCAATTTGCGGTTCTAAACCAAGACATAGTATTACTTATAACATTAATGTCCATTTCCAATCTCTTCTGGTAACAGGACCCATGCCCAGATCTCTTGATTCAGAAGTGACACAATTGTTCCCAAACCAAATGCGTGCATTCTTTCCCATTGCACATCAAACCGAACATCAGTGGCAGCGCTAATTGCCATACCAATAGTTTTTTTTTCTAAGTACACTTAAAGCCCTTTAAAAGCTACAAATGGTTATAAATGGTGTTATCATTCCATACATGGGCTCATTTCACTGACAGAAAAAAACTCTATACATGGGCCAGAAAATGTGTCAGCACTGTGCAATCGGTGGATCCCTGCACCAAAATCTGCCAGAATTCTCTACAGTTAAGTTGTGGCCATCATGGGATAATTTTGGGATAATCATGGGATAATGGACAATAATGGATCATCATGGGATAATCATGGGATATTATACAGCTATGGCCATGTATTAGTTAAAACTTGTTATTTCAATGGGATTATACATGAACCATAAATGTGGTGACGTACTACTTATAACTGGTAAAGGACCACAACTGCAGTTTCCCCATTTGAACCATGTCCACATGCAGTGTGACCATCCAGTGCTGACCTAGCTATGTATGTGGACATAGTTTACAGTGACGAAAACCTTTTATTAAACATCCACCGCCAAACATGATTTCAAGACTCCACAGTTATAGCCCTAAAAACAGTTGTAACTGGTGTTGAAAACCTCATTTAAGCGACATATATATATATATATATGTGTGTGTGTGTATCACCTAACAGCGGCAGGAATATTACTCCTATCTATAATTGTTAAGGGCAATCACTCCAGCAGCTCTGCTGCTGATACATCTGATGTTTTTCCCATGAGAGCCAGAATGGCAACCAACAAACACCAATGGTTTCGATGTCAATTGCCCCTATTTCACAATCTATATACATCAAGTCCAACAATTTGGAACCATCCAATATGACTAAAAACAAAATCATAGATAATGATAGATAATCCATGAGACCAACTGAAAGCCCTTGGACATTTTTCAGCCCGATACTTTCATCGATGCTTGGGCCGCTCTTCAGCACCAAGCTGGCTGTTTTCGGCTGCGAGTGCCATGTGAAACAGCCGACAATCTTTGGATGAAGGTGTTAAAGTCCAATTTACCAAAGTATATTTGTATAGCATCCTATCAATGTATATATTGTGCATGTATATTTACCAAAGATGTATCAGTGTTTTTTTAATCTATGAATGACCCCCTATTCAATGTATATTGAATATCATAGAAACAAGGCTGGAGAAGGCTGTTCCCAACAAGGTTTGATGTTTGTCGATCCTACTTTTGGTGGCTGAAGGACGTAGATACCAACGTACCTCTTAGCCATGCACCTACTTCAAAACTGATATGAGTATCATAAGAATTTTACCTCAGGTGCCATATCTGCCATATCTGCATATGTAAAATGTGATCATCCATCCCATACCGGGACCCGTTAGACGGTCCCGTGGTCCAGGGATCTGCCATGAACCAAGTTATCACCAAGGATTGATGACCAAAAACCCCAACACGGCTGGGAAATTGTCCAATGGACCATGGCTGGCACGAAAAATCTTGGTTGGTGTTATTGGTTCGCTGGCTGAGCCGGCTGGCCAGTTACGCAGCAGACGCCGGACGATGACACACCTCGGAATGCAGGACACTACGGCGGTTTTGTTGACATGTGTGGACATATTGATCGAGTGTCTCAGTATGTATTACCTTCTGGTTATGTCAAAATAGCTATTGAAAATTGCCATTTATAGGGAGTTTTCCCATTAAAAATTATGATTTTCCATAGTTATGTTAGTTTACCAGAGGGTAATATGTATGAACCTATTGCATTCTCCTTGCAAAATCCTTATTTCAGATTTGATAAAACAAAACATAACAATAAATACAACAAACATGTGTGCATATGTTCAATTAAGGCTGTTCTGTGTTTGGGGTTCCATTTTATGGTCATATATGCATGTTATTCTGGTGCAACCCAAATTCATTCACCAACCCGATAGATATAACCTTATTTTTGGATTTCCCATACTAACCATTATTTCAAGATATTTTTTAGCGACTTCACACATAGGTCGTTTTGGTCCAGATCTACCTCCAAAAAGATAGAACAATTGGAAAACCGGAAAATCCGGAAAATATCACATGTATCATTCCCAGATGCTCCATGTATGGCATATTTACCTACATTTGGGCCATTTTTGGGGTAAATGTAGGTACATATTACCTACATGGAGCATCTGGGATTCTGGAAACACGTTTCATCTTTTTGGGGGCTACATGGGTTTTACTATCCACATAAATTAGAAGGATGTATTGCAACATACTCAGCCACTGGATGCAACGAGAGAGTCACTACTTGGAGGACCGGAGAAAGTGGCGAGACGGGCCGCGAAGCCCACGGCCACTTCAACACCAGTTGCCACGTGGGATGATCCTCCAGCAGTTCCAGTAGTGAATACATAACCAAACACGTTATAGGCTTATAGGGATTACCCTCTGGTAAACTAACAGTTTGCTATGGAAAATCACTATTTGAATAGGTAAATAGCCGAACTAAATGGTCCATTTTCCATAACTATGTTAGTTTACCAGAGGGTATAGGGGTGATGTTCCAACTTCTTGGGGTTTAAAAACCCGCAGTTCTATCCATGAATCAACCCTAAACAGGGCCCCTTTTGTAGTTTTTACATCCCGCGAAATATCCGAAATATCCCATGAAACTCCATTAAAACACATTTTTGGTATATTGTTGTTGGATTGTTGCACTCCCCCCATGGTAAGCCATCAATTCATCCGCCTCTGTTCTCTCCAAGGAACATAAGCCCGGTGAACTTTGCGCTCTGCCGTTGCAGGCCTTTACCGTCACAGTTGAAGTGTCTACTGTCAGCTGGTTCTAGTAGGAATAGGTAAACACCAATAGTAGGAATACTATGATAGAAACTAATTGAGCTAAATAGGAGCTAAATTGGTGTATACATATTCCTACTATAGAATACATATGATAAGTTACTATATGGGCAGCCGTTACTATGTTAGTGACCATTACCACATTAGTAACCGTCACTATGTAGTCTATATTCACTTTGAATACAGCTTTATTTGAAACTTTGTTTCTATAGTAAACAAACACTATTCTTACCAACTTTAGTTGTTTACTACACGTTTGGTTACTACATAGTCCACACAACAAGTAGGCATGTTTCAACCAGATTGCTGACACCGAATAGTATGCAATTGTCTACACAGCAAGTGTGCGTCATATGTAGTCGCTTATTACACATGGGAAAAGATGATGATGTTTAACCACGGAATCATGGGGTGCCAGATGCAGAACTCAGAACCTTCCGAAAAGTGCATCGTTAGCACACGTGGATATGGTCAACATGTGGGAGTTTCGTTTGAATAAAAGCAACGCATGTTTTTCATGGTAAGACATGTCCATGTCAAATGGTCACACGGCACATCCCCAGAACTCCAAGCTTCTTCCCGTTGGATGCTTGATACAACTCAGCGCCACTGGAGCCGCTGGAGCCCGTTTACGATAGCGCTCAGTTGGTTTATACAGTGACATGGCCATGGCTATGAAAGTTATAACTGGTTATTTCAGTGGGATTATACATGTTATAAATGGGGTCTTCTTAGTACTTATAACTGGTATTTCGGGCCAGAACTGTAATCCTGTTCTGCCAGCCCCTCCACCCTTCACCCTCATGCCCATGGGGACGGTCGTACAAAAGGAGTGCAGCAAGGCGAGCAGATCCAGGTGCAACACATTGTCTAAGGCAAAAGCTAAAAGCTGGCATGTGGCGGTGGCCACCAGCTTTGCAACCATATCCAAGTGTATCTCATTGGTCTCAAAAAAGGTTTTTTGGAGTGGACGTGGGGCGTGGACAATGGACATAACAATCACCCCAATATCAGTTTAGGATCTTGGTACAACTTTATGATGCTTCCACTTTAAATTGTGAATTTCTAAAGGATTTTACAAACGCTTTAAATGGTTCCATACAATTTTTAAAGGATTTCCCGCTTTGTGGCTTCAAAATTCTCTATTTCTATCCCTGGCTTTACGATGCTTCGCCAGGTCGGTCTGGCTGCAAGGTGGTACTCCGGTCCGGCTGGAAAGGGGTTTGCCCCACTAGCCATAGATATATCATGCCTTTTACCAGTTAAAAACTGGTTGGTGGTTGAGCCAGCCCTCTGAAAAATATATGTTCGTCAGTTGGGATCATGAAATTCCCAATATATGGAAAAATAAAATTGATGTTCCAAACCACCAACCAGCAAGTTATAAATGGTTATGTCTATGGGGTTGTAGATTTTCACTGACTTATAACTGGTATTTTGGGCCTTAACTGTAGATGTATCACTCATATTAGAAAATAATAAAATAAAATAAATTTGTGTACGGCCTTACTTGTAGATGTATCACTCATTTTAAAAACAATAAATAAGTAAAATAAATTTGTGGTATACACGATTGTTTGACACAGCCATATATCAGATTGTCTATGTATCCCACTACATCTAGAGATTATTTATCCCAGATTGTAGACCCATTATGGCCTACATACCACGGTTGGCATACTAGTATCATCTAGTATCATGGTTAATAACATTACCGTACTTGTTCACTGTTTACACACTATTTTATTGAAAGTTTAAATCTCTTATTGTATACTAAAATGCATATTTTCATATAAGATGCAGGCTGTGGGGATGCTATTCCAGTTGGTAAAATCCCTATACTAAACCCATTTGGCTTCGGTCAAATCCCAAATAAACACCATGATTCTCATCCTATTGAAATGTTCAAGTACAAAGTGGTGTCCCATAGTTTGCTAAATTGGATGTGATGTCCCTTTAACCATTGATATATATATATATATATATAAATATATATATACGTATATATATATATATATACGTATAAATACGTGTATATATATAGACATACACGTATATATATATATATACGTATATATATATATATATACGTATATATATACGTGTATATACGTGTATATATATATATACATTATATTTACACACACCAAACACCACAGAGTTGACCTACTTATGTTCACCAACTTATCTGAAGGGGCACAAGTTGCACCAATGTCCCACAGTTATGCAGTACCCAAGTACCCACCAAAAAAATATTACAGACGATGGATCCATAATACCCTCTGGTAAACATACATATATAGCAAACTGGAAAATCACCATCTTTATGTTCTGTAAATCAACTATAACTGGGCCATTTTCCATAGTTAGGTTAGTTTACCAGAGGGTATTTGTGATGATGATCAAAGTATATAGGTAAATCAACTATTTCTATGTGCCATTTTCCAGTTCGCAAACTGCAACAAATTCCAAACCGTGGCTATCCAGTGATCTTTGACTGGAACGGCAGCACCTTCGCAACACGGACAGACCCACCTTAATAGAACATCCCCATTCGGTCCCAAATAGGCGACTTCAGGCAGGGATTAATCCAGTGATATTCCCAAACCTTTTTTTTGCGATGTGACAAACCAATAAACCCACATTGGGGCTTATCCCACAATTTATATCCCATATCAGGTTTATGGCACATGAATCCCCTGATAAACCTCCATATATCTCGCTGAATGAGATAACATGTCACTCACCAGTCTGAGTTATGGCCATGGTTATTAGTTTTAACTGGTTATTTCGGTGGGATAAAAAACATGTTGTAAAGTGGGGCCCCCTAGATAGCTAAGTTGGTTTATAACTCCAATAACTATGGTTTATGGTACCTATAACTATAGTTAATGGGGTTTATAAACCATCTTATAACTGGTATTCCGGGCCATAACTGTAAGATGCTATGACCTCGCGGGTGATGTCACTGGAATGCTGGTTCGTCAAGGGATGTCATCCATATGGCCCAACTCAACATTTCAGCGAAGGTTCGCGCAGCAAAATGGCCCAAGTTATACCACAGTCATGGCCATTTATTAGTTATAAATGGTTATTTATGTGGGATAAAAAAAACATCCGGTAAAGGGCCACAACAGTACTAACAAAACCCCATTAATAAAATGTATAATCTGACTGAAATAACCAGTTGTAATCAGTCATACCCTCTGGTAATTTAACATAGCTATTGAAAATGGCTATTTATAGTGGATTTTCCCATTAATTGGTGATTTTTGATAATTATGTTAGTTTACCAGAGGGTAACTAATAACCATGGCCATGTCACTGTTCGGAAATCACCATCTGACCATCTGGGCGATTTCTCCAAGTGCAGGATCCATGGATCGGTATTTCCATGGGATGAAAGAAAACTCCTGCAACGGATTGGTGAAACATATCACAACCGAACGAGGTGAACCAAGCCAACCATAGTTGTAAGACTATTATATTCATATTAATCCCTAAGATCAATGATCCCATTCAAGTCCCATCCACATCCAATTTTTTAAAGAGTGGTTTCTCAAAAAACAACAAAATCCCATGTTGTTTTCCAACAAATCCATGACTTTCCCATTTTTCAAAGTTTTTTTCCCATATTTTTCTCCAAACAGCTCCATGCGTTTCCCACAAACCCCACAGTAGAAGGACAAATTATATAATCAAACCCCAGGTGGATGATGTCATATATTGTTTTATATGTTCATCCCAACATTTATGAATGTTATTGTTATATAACATTTTATTCCCCCGAACCCCCTGAATTTCAATGTTATTGTTGTTATCTCCAGGTCAGTCCTCAGGGGTTTGCTTTGTTTCGTCCATTTATGGCCATGCTGTGTGAACGCCAATAACATTGAACTTTGGGATTTCGGTTCGAATAAATCGAAACATCCCCAAACAATAACATCTAATGTTTTTTTAGTTATTATCCAATTATCATCCAATAACATTGTTCGGGATATCCAATAACATTAGTAACATTATCCAATAACATATAGTTTGTTTGGTTCAATACCATGGTATTTTAGTGTTGTTTTAGCTACCCTCTGGTTATATGTTGCATAGCCATGGAAGCCATGGCCCATCGAAATAGATGGTTTACCGAACTTAAAAATGGTGGATCTTTTCATGGCAAACTGTTAGTCATAACCAGATGGTAATAGAAGTGGTTTAGAGACATCTATAAAAGAATCTATAGGGAATCTATAGGAATCCAATACTATACTTTACCGAACTTAAAAATGATGATTATCTCAATGGATTGGTTTAAGGGAAAATCTACAGGAAACCATGGTTTTTACCATCAGATATAGGGCTTTCCTGTAAATTTTCCCATCATCCAATTCGATGATTATCCACTTCGTCCCCCAGCGCCTCGGCCTCTTCGACGAGCGCGGCCGCGAAGGCCCCGAGTGGCCCGATTGGCTCGGCGCCTTGATGCGTCGCATGGGCGGCACGCGCGGCACGAAGGCGGGGGCACGTGGCAGCTGCCAGGTGTCCTGGCCCAAAAAAAAGACCACAAAGTGGGGCCCCCAAAGGATAGCTAAGTTGGTTTATAACTCCAATTTTTCTATGGTTTGTGGTACCTATACCTATAGTTAATGGGGTTTATAAACCATCTAACATCACTGGGGGGCCCCACATTGCAGGAAAATTTGGGATGACTATGGGGCCAAGATAGGTGAGTTGAGATATATAAAAGTGATTGAATTCTATGGTTTATGGTAGATATAACTATAAAGTTAATGTTTGTTCTTTGATCCAACTATGGGATTACTACTATGGGAATACTGATACTATGCGATGTATGATGGGTATCTTACGTAATATAATCCCAATGTGATTACTATGTTACTAGAATTAGTAATTACTTTGGAAATTTATGAATGATGTATAGTTTTTGATTTTTAAATGTGATTACAATGTGATGACTATGAGATGTATGATCGGTATGTGTGTGTTGGGATTTAAAAGTAATGGGAATATCATGGGAATATGAAAAATAGTGGAGTTGCTAAGGATTATATAATTGAATATCACGGAAATATAATGGATAATTATGACCATGGGAATTTAGAGTGATGACCAGGTTTTCAAACCAACCAAAAACTGTAACATGATTTGTTTTCCAAGCATGATTGGTGGGCCCTCAACAGGTAACTTGGGTTCCAGAGGAAACCAATGCAACTTTGGTGCCAACACAAACAGTTTGGGCCCACGTTGCTACCCCATGTTTTTTTTTTCCGATATACTGCCAAACACCAAGAAACCGATCACTGTTCCCATGTGTAGGAAAGTGTATAAACCCTGAACGATCGATCACCGAATAGGAGTATATAGGAATGTAAAGAAATAAACATTTATGGTACATAAACCAAAAAGAACAAGTGTCTGCAGAAAAAAAAAACATCATTTGGATAAAACTATAGGCCAACCTTAGAAGGTGGTGTCCCATAGCGCTAAGTTGCTATTTCCATGACTCCGTCCTATTAGTTGTTTGGGTTTATTGAAGACGTAGACCATAGTTCATGGAGAATATAAACCAACATATACTCATAATATACCGCTGTAAACTAAGATAGATGTAGACTTAACCCACCATTTGCATATCGTGTTCCAAGGCTTTCTCCATGGGGAAACCCCCAGCTCCAGCCGTCACGTTTTCAAACCCAACCTCTGTGACGGCATCATTCGCTTCAGAAGGTGCCTCACATGGGGGGGTTAATCAATGGGAATCTGAGGATTTCAAATGGAGCTACGTTAGTACATGTTAGTGTCATATTTTTGGCCATATTTTGCTACCTCCAATTTAGGTTCCTGAAATGGCCATTGATTTAATTGCACCATGTTATCTCAATGGAAACTGAAAAAAAAACTATGGTTAATTATCCCAGCTATAGCCCCAAGAAATTGCCAGTCATGTTGTAACTGTCAACAACATTCAACAACCTCATATTTATGTGATATGACCTTAATTAATTGCAGTAAAATCGCATTTATAGTTGTGAAGGGCAATAACTGTTCTTTCCATTTCCTGTAGCCTGGCCATGCCTGGCCCCTGGTGAGGAGATACCCCATGTCACCATGTACGTGGATGTACTTGGAGGATCCTCTAACTTAGTTAAATCTGGGTTCGTAGCCTCTGGTAAACATCCAACAAATTATGGAAAAACACTATTTTTAATGTAAAAATCAAGTATTTCTATGGCCATGTTCAATAGCTATGTTAGTTTACCAGAGGGTAAGTTTCCTAAGTCTTAGCTATCCCTACAATGTACAAGGTTGTAACTATGGTTCCTAGCACTGAGATGATCCAAGTACAGTATATCCGTTTAAGCATCTTAACACATTGATATCATCACAGCATATCACAGCAATCCCATGATTGCCATGATTAACCATGGATTTATAGATCTGTATGATAAATAGTAAGATTATTTTTCTGTATCAGATATATATATATATATGATATTAACCATGATCTATCATAGTAACGATTCTTGGGCTGGTTCCGGATATGTTTTTTTCCTCTAAGTTCTTCATTGAATCCCCATGAAACCGCATGAAAACATCCGCCATCCCAACTTATGAGGCGATTATATATATATATATATAACATCTTTCGGAATCCGTTTTCATCAAGTCAACTGCACCCAAAAATGAACCCATGTATGATGAGAATCCTATAGTTTCCAATGTGTTTGTCTACATTTAACCCATATGTTCCAACAAAAACACAATATCCCATCCCATATGTTCCATGTATGGAATATTTACCAACATTTGCCCTGAAAACATGTAGGTAAATATAACATACATGGAGCATATGGGCATGATATTTCCATATTAAAAACAAACACATCAAAATCATCCCAACTGTACCCCCGAGTAACCGCCCTTCCTGGATCCCGTCATCAGAACCTCCTCAGGCTCTTCATCCCTCGTCGAAGCCACCTTCGACATGGGGAGCGGCCGGCGACCTGACGGTATAGAGATCAGGCTGGAAAAATCGTGAGTTTTCATCCGTGCAAATTTAAATGTTTCATGATTTAGCAAGCAAACACCATTATGAAATAATTATTAATAGAAACCATCGTGAACTTGGGTTTAGCTTATAATTGAAAACCGCTTACTTTCAGTTGTATCTTACAAGGTGGACCCCCTAATTCCCCACCTGCCAGGTGAGGGTTGTTAGATTTTATCAGAGTTGTTCTCCTCCTCCTCGGCTAGCTGTCCTCCTCCTCCTCCAGTTTCTCCTCGACCATGTCTGCATCAACTTCCACCTGCACTTCCGCCTTGCCAACTCTTCGCCAAGCTCTTTGCCAACTCTCTTCGCCAAGCTCTTTGCCAACTTCCCAGCTCAGTGTGCACCGCTGGACCTCAACCTGAGACCTTCCCAGCTCAGTGTGCACCGCTGGACCTCAACCTGGGACCGTCCCAGCTCAGTGTGCACCGCTGGACCTCAACCTGGGACCTGCCCAGCTCAGTGTGCACCGCTGGACCTCAACCTGGGACCTGCCCAGCTCAGTATGCACCGCTGGACCTCAACCTGGGACCTGCCCAGCTCAGTGTGCACCGCTGGACCTCAACCGGGGACCTTCCCAGCTCAGTGTGCACCGCTGGACCTCAACCTGAGACCTGCCCAGCTCAGTGTGCACCGCTGGACCTCAACGGCCAAATAGAATGCCAGAAGATATGCCAGATAGAATGTCAGATAGAATGCCAGAAGATATGCCAGATAAAATGCCATGAGATATGCCAGATAGAATGCCAGAAGATATGTCAGAATATGTGCCAGAAGATATGCCAGATAGAATGCCAGATAGAATGCCAGATGATATGTCAGATAGAATGCCAGAAGATATGCCAGATAGAATGCCAGAAGATTTGCCAGATAGAATGCCAGAAGATATGCCAGAAGATATGCCAGATAAAATGCCAGATAGAATGCCAGATAGAATGCCAGAAGATATGTCAGATAAAATGCCAGAAGATTTGCCAGTAAGCAAATGTATAAATGTCATGGTGGGGATCACACGAAGTAAAGTAATTATATGTGTCTGTTTATTATGTTAAAAAAAAAAACGTATTAAGTAGATTAATATCTACCTTGATTCATAGTTAATCTACTTATAAACCCCACATCATGCGTACATGTTTCATTATTTAGCCGCCGGCAAAAACATCAACAACAATGATGTGTGAATCATGTCCATCAGCAATCACTTTTCCCGGGGCAGAAAGAAAACAAACATGAGCTGTTTATCATGTGCAGCCTCCAAACAACAGATCTGAGCAAAAAAACAAGAGGATTTCAAAATATTTCAATATGTTTCAATCAACACCCGCAAAAACAAATACAACCCAAAAAAAAGATTGAGATGAACATCCCACTTAGTAACGGGTTAGTAACCCTGGACTTTTCCTTTCATAACTGGGTGAACTCCACTTGACAGTTGCTGGGATGATCCTGCGATTGGGAAGAACATCCATAAACAACCCGCCGGACCGGAAACCGTTCCCATAAAACGCACATTTAAAAAAAATGGTGATTTTACCACAGTGCCGTGCTAATTTGATGATTGGAAATCCTGGAAAAACTTGGGGCGTGTTCTTTTGTTTTTCAGCGTCATCGCTGCAACGCATGCATAGTAAACAGCTGGCAGTCAGCATTCTTGTGAATGCATCTCCATTGCCAAGCTCTCAGAGATCTCAGAGATCTCAGCAGCGTAGCAACATGTATGTAACGTAGTAAACGATCCCAGAGATCTCAGCAGCGTAGCGACATGTAACGTAGTAAACGATCCCAGAGATCTCAGCAGCGTAGCAACATGTAACGTAGTAAACGATACCAGAGATCTCAGCAGCGTAGCAACATGTATGTAACGTAGTAAACGATCCCAGAGATCTCAGCAGCGTAGCAACATGTAACGTAGTAAACGATCCCAGAGATCTCAGCAGCGTAGCAACATGTAACGTAGTAAACGATCCAGAGATCTCAGCAGCGTAGCAACATGTATGTAACGTAGTAAACGATCCCAGAGATCTCAGCAGCGTAGCAACATGTATGTAACGTAGTAAACGATACCAGAGATCTCAGCAGCGTAGCAGTAAATAATCCCAGAGATCTTAGCAGCATGGCAATATATCATGTACGAAGTACAAGGAACGTTAACATGCCCCCCCACCCCACCCCACCCCACCCCACAATCGCGATATTCAAAAACGTGCGTTTTACGGGAACGGTTTTCGGTCCGCAGGCATAAACAAGTGCTATGTTGATGTGAGCAGAACGGGGTCCTATGGGTCCTATGGCTTCTGACTCGCCCCCCATGGATTACCATGATATTCTGATCTTGGCTATATCCCGGTTTTTGATCGTTGAAAAAAACATATGTGCTTGTTAAAACCACCAGTAGATCACTATTATATTGCAGCTAGTAAATGTTGACTACGTATATTCCAATGATGTTGCCATTGCATTTCCACCAATACTCCCCATATCTCCCCATATATTCCCCGTTGAAGTATGATCCCTATTTACTATAGTTGTTTCATCACCATAAACCCTATTTAACCTCAACATATTTGACACCACCAAGCAGGTCTATATACAAAATATACATATATAATTAGCAATGCAATTTGCAGAGCTTGTCGGCAATGAGTTCAACCAGAACCTGGAGGGCGTGACCTTTGCCATGGTTCCCCCTCGGGCGGGGGATTACAAAAGTGTGCCAGTTGTGGGTCTTTTACATAGGGCTAGCCCTTATATATATTTAAAGTCCTAACCCACCACAACCCAATTTCAAACTGAGCAGTGTTCAACGAACAGGAGTTTGGATGATATTGTAATTATGTCCAGCTATTCCCATATGATATCCCCCTCCTTATATTGGCATTAATATTCCCAACATTTCCCAATACTATACTTACTATACCCATGATTTCCATATATTTCCTACGTAGTATCCCATTGTTGGAGGAACCACCAAATTTCTAGCCACTCGGCCATGTCAACACGCACCACCCGGTGAACGCTCCCCGTTGATCCACCTGTCCAGGGCCGTCGCGGATTTGGGGTGGCACTGGAGGGCCGTGAAAAGGTGCGCGCGGTGCTGGGACGGCTGGGGCGGCTGTCGGGTTCCGTGGAGTTGTCATCAAAGTAGATGAAAACCTGCCACGGTGCAGCAAACGAAACCGTAGGAAAAATATGGAAAAATGATGGTTGAACTGAGTTGGTTCAACTAAAGTTGGTTAACTCAATAGATGGCAATGGGGTTTCCAGTGGTTTCCATTTTTCGGGACATGAGGTTAGCTTGCTATATTTCACCATACTGAATTCCCATGGTTCAAAAAAGAGAAGCCCATAGCTCTCTTTTTCCAGCCATGGTTATAGATATATCAAGATATATCTACCATAAAGTAGAACTATGGGATATACATATATATATATATATTAAACACAATTTGATTAATCATCACTTGGTATAGATCATATCGCGAATCCTATACGTAGCTTATAAGTTATATCCTGGTTCTGTTAGTATATCCACCCAAAAAAAACATCGCTGGAGGCTTCGCCTCGGGCGCCGACTCGTGGGAATATCTGCGACAGGACCTGACTTTGGAGCTTTCCCAAGTCATGGGGGTAACACCAGTCATCATCCGTTCCCAGATGCTCCATGTATGGAATATTTGCCTACATTTGAGCCATTTTTGGCATTTAAGATTGGGATTTTCCCTACAAACCATCCAGCCAACTTGGGGTATTCCATGACTTAGGAAACCCCCAAAATGGCTATGAATCAAAAGCCTGGTAGCCTACCCCAAACAATTGGTTGATGGATGGTTCTTCCTCCAAAGATGGCAATACTAGATTTTGACCCCATCCCCAAATTGGAATGGAATATAGTTTGGTAGCCTTAGTTGCAGCAGTTCTTTCATACCGTTGTGTTTATTTATAGCTGTTGAGGGCCATAGTTGGATATAATAATGCACATTAATCTTAATTATAGATATAATATAAATATGGTATATAATGGATATACTATAAGCGGGCTACTGTATAGAAATGGATATACATCTTATGGATAAGCAACATCATATAATCACCTATTTCGAAAAAAACATGGATAATCAGTTTATACCAAGCATATGAAATCATTTAAGTGATATTTAGCCTTAGTTTAGCCAAGAGTTATTTCATCCCATCTACTCTTAAATGTGGAGATATTGGAATGGTACATAGTTATAGTTGGATGCAGTACTTCAAATGGGATATATATATATAGTTGGATATAATGGGATATACTGGTGGGAGATAGCAGTAAGATATGCCAGCGGAACAATGGGAATAAATACACAATACCCTCTGGTAAACAGCCACATAACTATGGAAAATCACAATGTTTATATGTTTAATGGGAAAATTCACTATTTCTATGGCCATTTTCAATAGCTATTTTGATATAACCGGAGGGTACATGATTTCACTTCGCAAATCTGTCAATTCGATCAATCCCCAAATCGGAAGTGGTTAGTTGGTAACCCTGGTGATCGTAATTCCCCCCTAGGGTTATCCTATAAGTAGGCGAACTCAGCCCAATTACTACACCCTATGGATCCAAATACTTGCTGAGAAGGGACTAAACCCCAAAAATCATGCCCCAAATACTCCCTCAGAAGGTACTTGGATCTATAGGGATATGGCCATTTATTCGTTATAACTCGTTATATATAACTGGTTATAAAAGGGATTCATTACACATCATATATATTTACATAGATGGGGTGACTCAATACTTATAAAGGGTGCAGACTTAGAACGGGTACATGGATCCTCTAAATCCAACCGAGCCACTCTTGAAACTCCGACGCTACACTCACCAAACTGGTGGCATGCCGTGGTTCCTGCGTGCACAACACAACAAGCAGTTGATCGAACCCGGTGTTGAAAAACTATGGAAAATAGGCTCAGCTGGGATTATCACCTCATGTTCAATCTTTGAAGATAACACTTCTCTTTGAAAAAACATGTTCGCTTGGGGGTATCATTCCGGTCATAACTTGATCTTGAATCCGTTATTTTCCCTAGTAATAAATCATCCCATTATCATCCCATGTTCAAACTTTGAAGATAACGCTTACCTTTGAAACTGGCAAAGGTTCGTTAGAGTTAGCTCAACGGTCTGGTTTGTATTTTTGAAAGTGTCATCACTTCGTTCTTCCCATTGCAAATCCAGGTTGGTTCACATAGCTTTCCCTGCGATGGCGATAAAGATAATCCCTAATGAATTAAGTACTATAAGTCTCTATATTAACCAATCAACCAGGGATAACCGAGGTATTTTATATATATTTTTCATGGCTCAACTACAGTAGTGGCCCTCAACAGTGTAAAATGGGACTGTAACTCCTGCAACCAAGCTTTAAATTAATCGCTTATATTAAGAATTACATGAGATTTCTCATAAGAAATTTTATAAGCCAGTTCCAACTGTGAAAGCCTATACTAGTTATAACTGTTAAGTTAAACTCTACAAGCCGGTTTTCACTGTTAAAGCCTACAATGTGGGCCCCCAGTAATAAGATGGTTTATAAACCCCATTAGCTATAGTTATTTGTTGCGTATGATAAACCATAGTTATTGGAGTTATAAACCAACTTAGCTATCTATGGGACCCTACATTGTATAACCCATATGCTCCATGTATGTTATATTTACCTTCATTTGGATGATTTTCAGGGCAAATGTTGGTAAACATTCCAGCACCATGGAGCATATGGGTAATGGGTTACCCTCTGGTAAACTAATATAACTATGGAAAATCACCATTTTTAATGGGTAAATCAACTATAAATGTCAATTTTCAATAGCAAACTGTTAGTTTACCAGAGGGAATGTCATGATAACTCCCCATCAATTCCTGGCATTCGGCATCGTAAGGGTCGCGCCTGCCCCTCGAACTTGCTGACCGCCGGTAAGGGCTCTCTGAGCCTTGCAAGCCACTGCCTTAGCGAGACTTGGATGTCTTTGAGTTCAGTTGCCCTTGCCAGTTGATGGGATACTCATGGATTTATATGGATTTATATCTGGTTGGTTGTATACCTACCCCTCTGAAAAATATTAGTCAGTTGGGATGATGAAATTCCCAATATATGTGAAAATAAAAAATGTTCCAAACCACCAATCAGATATGGATTTATATGGTTTTACATGGATTTATCCTCCAGTTATGGGCTTGGAATAGTGTGGATTAACCGCCGAGAAGATGAATAAAAATAGGGATTTTTTTGGGGGGGGATGATGATAGGACAAGTATGGGATATTCATGGGATTTATCATGGACTTATCCTCTAATCAAGTTCTTACTGGAATTATTGTTGTAATCAAGTTTGCTGCCAGTTATAAATGACTGATGACCTCATTTAAGTAAGATATCAACTTAGTTGCAAGTTATTTCATCCCATGGCAATAACTTCAATAACTTTTAAAGGCCAACACCGTAGGGAGATCTGAGGCTTCAACATTCCCGGAATGTTGAAGGGAAGAAACAATACCGGAAACCCAGCTGGATCTAGAAACCATGGTGTCCTGCAAACTGTCCTTTGAATCGATCCATCGAGATGTGGTTTCCTACCAACATTGTATCAGGCACCAGGGTGCCAACATGTTCTTTGTGCCAAAAATCGAGATGTTTTTCGATGTTGACACAATTTTGATATGCAATCTGTTGGATATGCAATCAACGCCCAACATCATGTTCCCATTGTCTTTTATCACAACTCATTACAAAACCCACTACATCCTACTCCAATACTTGCCTACACCTGCCACCGATGTTACCACTGAAACACCAGCCTGAACCACAGTTGACATCCTTCGCATTGGATTTTGGGCATCTGGGGCATCTGGTTTTGGGCATCGGAACGCCTTCAGCCTCAGCCATGCTACTTTCACAAGTCCACGGATTTCTGACCCCTCACCTTGAGTTTGACTACTCCTGCGCTTGAGCCCGTACAAAAAAACATGTCACACCGCAACTTTGCACGGCTCGTTCAGTCTCGCCGCCGCAACACTCCCTGAGAAATCTTATGCTTTACGCTCATGTTTCCTGTTGTTTCTTCCTTTTCATTTGATGGTAAATGGGCGGTACAATATTTTTCAAAACACAGCCCATATATGTTCCATATTGGTGGTTCTTTACTATACAATAATCAAATATTACATCCCCATAATTTTCCCTTGAAATATCCCATTGTTGATGATTAAATTCAACTATCATCCCTGCATATCCCCGCTATGTCCAGGCAATTACAGTGTATATATCTGGGGAAATTACCATATTTCACTAACCTGAATAGTTCGGCCATTTGGGGATGATTTCCCTTACTAACTATGATTCCAGGGTTCGGGAGAACAGTGAGGTCGTGATGAAATTTACCCAGATATATATATATATAATTTGCAATAAATTGGTCTGCTTCCCCATGCTGAATTGACCAATTGACCATTCAAAGCCCTATCCGGCAATCCGACCTATCCCAGTTTATCCTTGGCTAAATCCTTGCAGCTGTTTCCTCCATTGACATGACAACATGCATCATGGCATCAGGCCAACTTAGATCAGCGATAATTACTTTACTTCGTGTGATCCCCACCATGACATTTATACATTTTCTTACTGGCAAATCTTCTGGCATTCTATCTGACATATCTTCTGACATTCTATTTGACATTCTATCTGGCATATCTTCTGGCAAATGATCTGGCATATCTTCTGGCATATCTTCTGGCATTCTATCTGGCAAATCTTCTGGCATTCTATCTGGCATATCTTCTGGCAATCTATCTGACATATCTTCTGGCATTCTATCTGGCATATCTTCTGGCATATATTCTGACATATCTTCTGGCATTCTATCTGACATATCTTCTGGCATATATTCTGACATATCTTCTGGCATATCGTCTGGCATATCTTCTGGCATATCTATCTGGCATATCTTCTGGCATATTTTCTGGCATTCTATCTGGCAAATCTTCTGGCATTCTATCTGGCATTCTATCTGGCATATCTTCTGACATATCTTCTGGCATTCTATCTGGCATTCTATCTGGCATTCTATCTGGCATATCTTCTGGAATATCTTCTGGCATATCTATCTGACATATCTTCTGGCATATTTTCTGGCATTCTACCTGGCAAATCTTCTGGCACTCTATCTGACATTTTATCTTCCTACATGAGGTCCGGCAGGGAACACTTGGCGTGGATACTCGCGGTTGAGGTCCGGCAGGGAACCCTGGGCGTGGATGGTCGTGGTTGAGGTCCGGCAGGGAACACTGGGCGAGGATGGTCGTGGTTGAGGTCCGGCAGGGAACATTGGGCGTGGATGGTCGTGGTTGAGGTCCGGCAGGGAACACTGGGCTATGGATGGTCGTGGTTGAGGTCCGGCAGAGAACACTGTGGATCGCGGGTCGCAGTTGAGCAAGGACGACGAGGACGACGAGGACGACGAGGAGGACGAGGAGGAGGAGGAGAGGAGGAGGAGGAGAAGGAGGAGAAGGAGGAGAAGGAGGAGGAGGCAACTGACATAAAATCTAACAACCCTCACCTGGCAGGTGGGGAAAAAACATTAAAAAACACCATGCAACCTCGATTGTTGAATTGCAACTTTGTAGCTCAGGAACATTTATAGGATGAACACAACACTCAACGCCTCAACGCGCACAGAATAACCACATGCCTTCTTTTGACAGCACCATCGGCACCTGGAGTTGCACCACCACTTGTCGACACAGCAAGGCTAGAAAACCATTTTAGTTTGATGAACTTTAATGATTTTTGCAGCTATTCTTCCATAAATTGTAACTAAGAGCCATGGCCATTTCACTGTATAATATCCCATTATTATCCCATTAACTAGTTCGTTATATGATCATATATTTACCATACACATCCATACACCATAGTTAAGTCACTTATAAGGCAACCTAGCTACTAGATGGCCTATATCTACCATAAACATCCATAAACCATAAAACTCAGCCACTCATATTCATCATTCATCCCATTATTTACCATATAAATCATATATATTTACCATATAAATAATATATTCAGCCATAAACATCCCATATACATCATATATTTACAGGATGGCCCCCCCCAGTTATAAGTTGGTTTATAAACCATTATAATCCCCATTAACTATAGTTATATCTACCATAAACCATTGTTAAGCCACGTATTAGCCACTTATAAACCAACTGAACGCTATCTTGGGGGCCCCACCCTGTACCATAAACATCCATTATTCATCCCATCATCGCCACAAAGCCCAAGGTGCTGCACCAGCTGGTCATCTCCTTCCCGCTCCGCGCGCATCCGCCGCCGCTCCGTCACCGCGGAGACGGAGCCCTGGAGGAAAACCCATGGGGAAAGCCATGGGACAATTTGGTGAACACAGGGAACAAGTGAAGAAAGACATGTGAAATATATGGTTTATATATTGTTAATTTACTGTTAATATATGGTTAATATATGGTCAATATATGGTTAATATATGGTTAATATATGGTTAATATATTGTTAATATACTGTTAATATATGGTTTATATATGGTTTATATATGATTAATATATGGTTAATATATGGTTAATCTATGGTTAATATATTGTTAATAAATGGTTAATATATGGTTAATATATGGTTAATATATGGTTTACATATTGTTAATATACGGTTAATATATGGTTTATAAATTGTTAATATACTGTTTATATATGGTTTATATATTGTTAAATATATGGTTAATATATTGTTAATATACTGTTAATATACGGTTAATATATGGTTAATATATGGTTTATATATGGTTAATATATGGTTAATATACTGTTAGTATATGATGAATATATTGTTAATATATGGTTAATATATTGTTAATATATGGTAAACTTACTGTTAATATATGGTTTATATATGGTTAATTTATGGTTAATATATGGTTAATATATGGTAAATATACTGTTAATATATGGTAAATAAATGGTTAATATACTGTTAATATATGGTTAATATATGGTTAATAAATGGTTAATATATGGTTAATATATGGTTAATATATGGTTGATATATTGTTAGTTTACTGTTTATTTATGGTTTATATATGGTGAATATATGGTTGATATATGGTTAATATATTGTTAATATATGGTTAATATATGGTTTACATATTGTTAATATATTGTTAATATATTGTTAATATATGGTTAATATATGGTTAATATATGGTTAATATATGGTGTATATATTCTTAATATATGGTTAATATATGGTTTACATATTGTTAATATACGGTTAATAAATGGTTAATATATGGTTTATACATGGTTAATATACGGTTAATATACTGTTAATATATGGTTGATATATGGTTTATATATTGTTAATATATTGTTTTATGAAAAACCGAGCCAGCTACACATTGGAAATTGTTAAAATATTTTTTTTTTCATTTTTTTATCGTTTTGGTTATCATTTTATTTATCATTTTTTTCATTTATGTTTTCATTCATTTTTTAATCATTTTTTTATCATTTTATTTTTCATTTTTTTTCATTTTTTTTTCATTTTTCACATTTTTTCCATGTTTTTTTTCATTTTTTTCATTTTTTTATCTTTTTTCATCATGTTTGCTTCCAGTGGTGCAAAAATTTTCCGAAAAATAAAAAAATGCAATTTTCCTCGAGTTTTTTTCATTTTTTTATCATTTTTGCTTCCAGTGGTGGAATTGGTGAAAAATGATGAAAAATGATGGAAAATGATAAAACAATGATCAAAAAATGAAAAAAAAATGAAAAAAAATGGAAAAAATGAAAAAAAAACTCGAGGAAAATCGCAATTTTCCAAAAAATGAAAAATTGTGATTTTCCTCCGTTTTTCTTCATTTTTTTTCATTTTTTTTTCATTTTTTTCATTTTTTTTCATTTTTTTATCATGTTTCATCATGTTTGCTTCCAGTGATGCAAAAATTTTCCGAAAAATAAAAAAATGCAATTTTCCTCGAGTTTTTTTCATTTTTTTTATCATTTTTTTATCATTTTTGCTTCCAGTGGTGGAATTGATGAAAAATGATGAAAAATGATGGAAAATGATAAAAAAATGTTAAAAAAATGAAAAAAAAATGAAAAAAAAATTGAAAAAAATGAACAAAAAATGAAAAAAAAACGCGGAAAATTGCAATTTTCCAAAAAATGAAAAATTGCAATTTTCCTCGGTTTTTTTTTTTTATTTTTTTTTCATTTTTTGTCATGTTTTTTTCATTTTTTTTCTTTTTTTTTTCCATTTGTTTATCATGTTTCATCATTTTTGCTTCCAGCGGTGCAAAGATTTTCCGAAAAATAAAAAAATGCAATTTTCCACGAGTTTTTTTCATTTTTTTATCATGTTTTAATCATTTTTTTATCATTTTTCATCATTTTTTTATCATTTTTCATCATTTCCACCACCGGAAGCAAAAATGATAAAAAAATGATAAAAAAATGAAAAAAACTCGAGGAAAATTGCAATTTTCCATTTTTTTGATTTTTTTTGCACCACTGGAAGAAAAAATGATTTAAAAAAAGATTAAAAAAATGAGAAAAAAATGAAAAATAAAATGATAAAAAAATGATAAAAAATGATTAAAAAAATGAAAAATAAAATGATTAAAAAAAAATGAATGAAAACATAAATGAAAAAAAAATGATAAATAAAATGATAACCAAAACGATAAAAAAAATGAAAAAAAAATATTTTGACCTGGCCCAGTCTGTGGCTGCAAGTTTTTCATAAATATTGTTAATATAGGGTTTATATATGGTTAATATATGGTTTATATATGGTTAATTTACTGTTAATATATGGTTAATATATGGTTTATATACTGTTAATATATGGTTAATATATGGTTAATATACTGTTAATATATGGTTTATATATTGTTAATATACTGTTAATATATGGTTTATATATGGTTAATATACTGTTAGTATATGATTAATATATGGTTAATATATGGTTAATATATGGTTTATATATGGTTAATATATGGTTAATATATGGTTAATATACTGTTAATATATGGTTAATATATGGTTAATATATGGTTAATAAATGGTTAATATATGGTTGTTCCCTCCGACGGGGTGTTCACGCGCAGACACACTGCTGAATGTGCATTTTGTACTGTTTTTTACAATGTTTTCTGCTTCTCGACAATGCTGCCCTGGGGGGCGGGGGGGGGGCAGGAACAACTGTTTCTTCGAGTGATGTTTTCTGCCTTTGTCCATTTGCACTGGTTTTTACAGTGTTTTTCGCGCTTTCGCACTCTTGTTTTTTTGCACCATCTGCGTTTTCCTTAGGTTTTTACAGCGTTTTCAGGCTTCATGACGTTGCTGATGCTACGCTGCACATTGGGGTGGGGTGGGGTGGGGCAATCACGTTCATGTGAACTTGATCACGTTGTTGAGGCTTCATCATGTTGCTGATGCTACAGGGGGGATGTTAACGTTCCATGTAACTTGCTCACGTTGTTGATGCTACGCCACGCTGGGGTGGGGGATGTTAACGCTCCATGTAACTTGCTCACGTTGTTGATGCTACGCCACGCTGGGGTGGGGGGATGTTAACGTTCCATGTAACTTGCTCACGTTGTTGATGCTACGCCACGCTGGGGTGGGGGGGATGTTAACGTTCCATGTAACTTGACAAACCAAGTCGGCCGCGCGTGAACAGGCCCTCCGACCGTGGTTAATATACTGTTAATATATGGTTAATATATGGTTTACATATTGTTAATATATTGTTAATATATTGTTAATATATGGTTAATATACTGTTAGTATATGGTTAATATATGGTTTATATATGGTTGGTATATGGTTAATATATGGTTTAAATATTGTTAATATATGGTTAATATATGGTTAATATATGGTTAATCTATGGTTAATATATTGTTAATAAATGGTTAATATATGGTTAATATATGGTTAATATATGGTTAATACATGGTTAATATATGGTTTATATATGGTTAATATACGGTTAATATACTGTTAATATGTGGTTAATAAATGGTTAATATACTGTTAATATACTGTTAATATATGGTTTATAAATGGTTAATATATGGTTGATATATTGTTAGTTTACTGTCTATTTATGGTTTATATATGGTTATTATATGGTTTATATATGGTTAATTTACTATTAATATATGGTTTATATATGGTTAATATATGGTTTATATATGGTTAACTTACTGTTAATATATGGTTAATATATGGTTAATATATGGTTAATATATGGTTTATATATGGTTGATATATGGTTAATATATGGTTTAAATATTGTTAATATATGGTTAATATATTGTTAATATATGGTTAATCTATGGTTAATATATTGTTTCATGGATACTAAAGGGGGTCTATGGGGGGGGGGTCTATGAGCTTATCATATAAGGTCCTGATAAGAGCTGGTTAGTATAAGCACCTATTAGGGTCTTATTAGACTCTTATTATGGCTGGATAAGGGCTTATTAAGGCCTTATTAAGGGGTTATCATCTAAAGCCTTATTAAGGTCTTATCCCCCATGGATAGCTGAACTTCCTTATCCACTGCTTATCCAGGAAATGTGGGCCACAACCAATATTGTAAGATTGAGAGGGGAATGGCACTGGGAGATCAGTTTTTTCCTTTTCCAACCAGCCAATTGTTCGAGATCTCTAGCCCCACCGGCTCAACCCTGGAAGAGCTCCACAGTGCGTTTGCACATGTCCAGTGTGGGCCTCGGATGGCTGGGACCAGTCAGGGGACTTGGAATCACATAATTTCTATTAGTGTAGAGTTTCCCCCAGTACATTGGTGCAAAACACCCAAAAAAGTCAAATGCAAAGAATTGATTTAACTTGGCTTAGGGTCCTCGTTTGACCGGGAGTCCAATTGCCAGCATTTTCTTCTTTCTCATGGACATCCCAAATCTTCCCCAAACATTCATATAGGGCTTGAGATTCAGAGAGGCCTCTGCGAATGCCTCCCCACTTCGCACAACGGGAAATCTTCTCAGCGCCATCACTGCCTGTAGTGTGGTTGGCATGATATGGTTAACATACTGCTGTTTGTAGGGGCCATTCTATATTACCAAAATCATGACCCAGAAATACTATACCCCAAGAAAACAAAAATAATTTTGTGGGTTTTCACCAAGAATCCAGCTTTGGGGTAGAATGCCTGATAAGTTTGTAAGCCAGCGTTTCTTTGGATGAAACAACCATGAAGATCACCTTTGCCAGGGATGAGTGGTTTCCTGAGTGGGCCAATGGTTCAAATGACATTGTAATAATACTTTGGGAAATCCATATAATAACAATTAAATTGGACGTTAAAATCAATTATGATATGTGCTGTACCCCAGTTGTATTCGGTGTCAATTTGGGCAATGAAATTCATTGGTTTGGTGGTGTATTAATCTTAGCTAATGGGAAAACTTGCCAAACCCAAGGGACCTCAAAACTAAAATTAAATAGGGTTTGAAAGTTGACATGTCTGATTTTAATGATATCCAAGGGGCAACTCGACTGGTGTGAAATATTTCTTGGCAGCGTATGGTGCTGCACTGGTACCTCAGCCAGTTGATTGAGTGTAATAAGTCTTAGTGTTATGGTTTGTAAGAAGTACAAGGGGTCACACCACTCAGATAAATTCGAATGAATGAAGGTTTAAGTAAGTACAAATGAATAAATAGTAGTCGAATTAAATAATATAACCACCAGTCAATGACTGCTGAATTAAAAATTCGATGTATTTATAAAAGTGTTTCGTGGTAAGGCCTATACTATATTTTATTGATTGATTGCATTCTAGTCACCTCGTCCTTGGCCTTCAATCTCCTTTCTCACATTCTCCTCCAAAAGTTTCGTCCTCACCTTGTCGGCCATGCCTTTCAGACCTGCAAAAGCATGTTGGTTTTCCTCGTCCAGCAGCTCAAGTTCGTTGCACAGTTGATCAACATCCTCCTCAGAAACACTGGAACCACGAGTTCCCATGATGCCTCTCACAATTCGTTCCTGTTCCTCTGCACTGTCGTGTGGAAACATCTTGGCAACAAGAGCTTTTGCCCAGTCCACCTTCAAAACACTTTTGACTCCTCTTTTGTTTGCCCTCCCAGATCCCTCGGTTGGTGCGGCTACCCGATTGCTCGCTGCAATAACTCTGATCTCCTTGATGGTGAGTAGGCATCTTCCGGACCGGAGTGCGGCCAGGACCAATGGTTCAATTGGAGAGGAAGGTTGGAGAATGCAAACATGGTCTCGGCAATCTGATGGTAGAAAAAGTGGTGCCACAGGCTTCACACTGCAAGCAAGATAAGTATCATCCTCTGCACTGGCCGACCTGTTGAACAACCAATGGGCTGAGCATACTTCGGAGGAATCTGGTAGCTCTGGGACAGTGAAGAACACCTTCCAAACTGGTTTTGAAAACTTTTTGTCAACAAGTGGAACCCAAAACTGACTTCCATGGTTGCAGCATGCAGGTACAAGTGTTTGCACCCGACTGAAAACCTTAACTTGGATTCAGTCGCCAAACATTGCTGTCAAGTATTTATTCGCTTGAGTGTGTGACATTGCCTCCAAAACACAAGCATCACAGTAGGCTGGTTGCCTTGCATTAAATCGAAAAAAACATGTGGAATTACCACTGAACTAAGTTTGAACACACCGGTTGCATCCTATCCACCAACTCTAGCCTAGTGTTGCAGAGTGTCTTTAAGACCCCGCCTGGTTGTTGGGCCCCTTGTGAATGTCCAGTGGCACAGATTGAGCAGCCCATGTTCTGAACCCCAAGCAAAGGGAAGCTGCGTCTTGCTCCCCGTTCATGACCACCAGCCCGGGAAGGAAGAAACACCCTGCAAGGTTTATCATTTGTCAAATGCCCTATCCTCACCCATGCTCTTGGTTTTGCACAAAAGTAAACACTATTGTCAGAAACTTTTGGGGGTCACAATTACAAACCCCATAAATTTCAAACTTGGATTCAGCAAGATCGCACAAAGGACTTATATAAACAAGTGTTGGCGCCAACGGACCTGTCCACAGGTCTTGCAGCCGATCAAAATCGTCAGCTTGACATCTCAAAAGGGTGGCAGTGGCAGCGGTCATCCTCATGTCTGCCAAAGTTCCTGCTGTGCCCCAGTGCTCTTGAACCTCAGAAATCAAACAACAAAAAAAATACAGTAAGTATCCACTCAGTGCCATCATAAGCACACATATGGTTAAACCATCTTAAAGGTGAAAACTACGCCAGGTACAAGCCCAAGTGCTTCTGTCAGCTTGCCCAATCTTAATGCTGGGGGCAAACTCAGTTCCGGTTTGAAGTACTGACCATATGAGGCTGTCTGTGGGCGGAAGGTCAGGTAGTCATCAACACCACATGTGATGTGATTGTAGCCATTCTTGAGTGTCGACTGGCACGTGGTTTGGTAAAAGAACCTTGACCACCTTAGTGGCTAGAACCACACAAATGTAGATGTAAATGACTTGAAGCACCAGTAGTCGATTTTATCTGGGCACAGAGAAAACATATCCAAAACTCATAGTGAGCAAATGCGAGCAACTTGTTCATTTTCTGGTACCCCTTGTTGCTTCGGGAACTCACATGCTGTAAATGTGCAAACACATCTTCCGCTGTGAATTTGCTATTGGAAGGCCCAGCAAAAAGAGCAAACGCCTGCATCCTCATCTCTGGGTCATCACAATCAAAACCACAATTTCTGCCAACTTGGATGGTTTCCAAAGGGAGCTGCAACCTTGGCCACCAGCAGTCACTCAACATGTCACTGACCGCTCGCCCCCTTGCACCCACCGGGTTTGCATGTAGGACCCTGTGAGCAATGGCGAGCCCAGAATCCAAGTCCCGCAAGACATCCATTCCCCACTTGCGCACATTCACTTCGAGTGAAAACACACTGGAAATGACATTGGGGTTGCAAATGCTGTGAACACTTTGAGACCATGTCCTGTCAGGGATGCAAAAAGCAGCTCTAGACATCACTAGTGACAGTGAGACCACACAAAGAATTGTTTGATCATGTAAGGCCAGGCATGGCTCTCTATTGAGGTCTAGAAAATTCCTCCATCCATCAGTGGTATCCAGTGAAGTGGTGGATGGGTTAGACAGGTGTTTATCCTGTCCATGTCCAAAGGAAATCCTTTAAACATGTTGTCTCATTTGAATCGAACCCGCTTTGAAAAGGCGACTGACTGAACTTGAACTTGTTGCAAACTTCCCTTTGAAAATATGTTGTGTCCTGAAAATGTCCTGTCCCCCAGTCCAGCCTGTGACTCACATAAAAAGCAGTGTTAAATGACATCAGTATTTAGGACTTTCTTTGTCTAACATAACAGAGTATTAAACCCAGTAAACAAGACAGAATCGTAAGTAGTAATTATAGGTCCAACATAATAATCTAGTTCAACATCGTGTGAGCTCATAAACTATTATCTTAACTAACAGTGAATGGGGATTAGTTTGTTCATTGATCTTGCTGCTTCTGGTTCATGTTCAACTAGTCATATCCCATGTTTCTAAGGGGAATGGGAACAATCATTGGTTAAACACCCAATGGGTCCTTGCAGCTGCGAGTTGGAGCAATACTTCCCAAGCTTCCTCAAGCAATCTCTGCTCCTGAATTGCCCAGGTCGCTTCAGCATCAATTGGCCCTGATGGCAAGGCAGGGGTGAGCCGCATTTGGGAAATGAACTCGGCTGTGTGGATCATGCGTAGTGTTGACAGAACTGTTCGGAACCAAAGGCCCCCTGCATGGGAGGCTGCCCATCGCAACTGAGCTTCCTGTAAAATGACAAAACAGTCATCAGTGTCGCAAGCTCCAGAAAGATCACTTCAGATTCCGTAAGATGTTGACTTTGGATAACTTGGGGAAATGCCCACAAAGTATTCAAATCAATCAAAAGTTTGCAAAACCTGTCATACCCACATTGAATCATTGAACATTGTGACACTGACTAATGATCATTTTAAACCCTGGATGTCCTGACCCTGTCGTTGAATCTCCAAGTACTTGTAGAACTCACCAGATACATACTGGCTGGTCACCGCCAACATGTTGATACGTAGCTGGAGGTCCCTGGCCAGGGAAAATACCCATGAAATTCGATAAATAATATATTTATATATATATGTAATATATATATATATATATAATATAATATGTTTGTGTCAGTGTGATCGTCACCATCTAAGTAAATTTTACAATCATTGATCAGGTAGTCTAAGATAGTTCAACATTTTCTGTGTTTATCATGATAAAATTGATATTATTATTGCAATTGAAAATTAAGATGAATTCGATTTGTTCTTTTGCATTTTGGGTGACCCTAGCCTGTCATCATAGAGAGCAACACAGCAGTGGACAGTGTTTTTGAACTTACTTCGCCAAGCATTGAAAGCTCTTTTCGTTTGGGGGTTGTCGCCATCTTCGCCCCCCTCTTCTCCCTCCATTTCAACATCCTGGCCATCGTCACCAGGCGGCTCACCACCAGCTGCACCCTGATTGGCCTGCCGGGATGGGGTGTGGAATGGAAAATAAAGTAAGATTGGTGGATTGGGACCTACAGTAATATAATAGTAGTAAGTAATAACCTGAGGCC